ACCGAACCGTGACCCGGTTCCCAGGTCGATGTCTAACCACTGAGCACAGCAGTGGAGCCGGGACCTCGGGTTCCCAGGGGGCCGGGCGGCCGGTCCGAGAGCCGGCTGGCCTCGGTGGGAAGCCGCCTCCTGGGGGCTAAGTCAGCCTCACGCCCCGTCTGCGGGCCAGACTCCCCCGGGAGGGCGGCTCCTGCCTCCGCCTCCGGCTGGCAGGCTGCCCGCCCGGCCCTGGAGGAGGATGCTGTCCGCTCCGGAGGCTGCGGGGCGGGAGTGGCCGGGGTCTGGGTTCTGGTCCTGCTCCCCTCCGGGGCCAAGGCGCTGCTGCAGGCCCAGCCGGGCGGGCGGGCGGGCGGGCTCGGTTTCTCCAGCCGCCGGCCCGCCCGCCCGCCCACCCGCCTGCCTGCTGGGGTGCCGGGTCCCCAGCAGGTTCCACCCGGAGTGGTTCGAGACTCGGCTCACATTTGAGCCTCAGGAAGCTGGGGGCCACCCTCCCTGGGACCGGGGCTCCCTGGCACCAGGAGGGGCCGAGGTTCCTGGGCTCCGAGCCCTCGGGGACGAGGATTTCCAGGAAGGAGCCAGAGACTGGCCGCCCCCCCCCCCCCCCCCAATCCCGGGACCAGCGGGCGTGAGCAGCAGGAAACACTCCCCCCTCCTCCCCCATCCCGTCCCTCCATCCCCCTTCCATCCACTCCCCCCCCCCCCCCCCCCCCCGCACCCAGCTTATCTAAATCCCGCCGGCTGGCCCGCCGGCCAGCTCCCCTTTGATCTGGCCGGTCTCTGAGCCGGGCCGTGACAGGTCACGGTGCAGCTCAGTGACTCAGAGCGCCCGGCAGACCCGAGGTCGCAGGCCGCGCCACGTCCCTGCCACGTGCATGTGAGCACGTGTGTGCACACGCACACGCACATACACACACGCCTTCAGGATAGCGTGTCCATGGCGGCCGTGGGCGGGACAGGGCAGGAGGCCGGGCGTCCAGGCACCCAGGGCGGTGGATGTGCCTCGGTCTCCGTCCCTCCCTGGCCATCGCTGGCCCCAGGGGCTCCTGAAGGATTCAGGTCCCCAGTCCTGCTTCCGGGGCGTGGCGGGGGGCGCCCCCGGGGGCGTGGAGGGAGCTGGGGTGCAGGGGCTCTGGGGCCGCCCTCCATCCTGGCCCGGGGCCCTTGTCCTGTCACAGCCGTGACCTGCAGTGACCTGTGCCTGGAGGAGCTCAAGGCCAAGGTCAAGGTCGGGGGGGGTGGTCAGGTCAGTTAGGAGACAAAGGTGGGGCCTCGCCAGCATTCCGCCTGAGAAGCTGAGCAGACCCCCAGGACCCCGAGTTCGCCGGGCGGAGCCTGGGGCGGGGCAGTGACATGATTGATTGGCTGTCTGTATTGTTCCTGAGGATGAGGTGGGCGTGAGGGGAGCTGGCCCCGTCCCCCCTCCTTCTGGGGGGGCCCCGGGCACCCTTTGCAGGGGCCAGATTCTCCTCCGCGGCGTCTGCGTGTCCCCAGCCGCCTCCCCCGGCTCTGTCCTCTGTCCTGTGTCCTCCGTCCTCCCTCTGTCCTCCCTCTGTCCCCCCTCTGTCCTCCCTCCGTCCTCTGTCCTCCGTCTCTCTCCCGCCCGGCTGCCCGGCTCCCCGAGGTCTAAGGAACCGCTGAGCTCAGCTGTTCTGGCTCGGAGCTGGGGGTGGGCCCTGGTCCCTGCAGCCGGTCTCACTTCTCCTGGGGCAGGGGGGAGGGGAGGGGAGGATCTGCAATCGCCACCCTCAGCGCCGGCTCCCGCTCAGCTGCCCCGAGCTGGGCAGCCGGTGCCCGGGCCCGTGCCAAGGCGGGAATAGGCGGCCTCTGTTCCGGGAGGTTCCGGGCCTCGCAGAGCCGGGCGGGCGGCAGGATGGAGGCCCCGAGGGGTGGGGCTCGGGAGGATGCCCGAGGGCAGGTCCAGGAAGCTGTGCGGGGCGACGGACGGCTGGTCCCCAGGCCCTTACTGAGCCAGGCCGGGAGCCAGATAGCGTGACTTTTGCCAGCGTTGCGTGAAACCGTGATTCACCTTGTGGTGGAGGCTTTCTTTAAAGGTGTGGCTGTACCGATTGCAGAGAGGAAGGGAGAGGGCCGGTGGGGGGCCTCTGACCACCGAGGACCCCACAGGAGGTGGCTGGGCCGCGCCGCGGGCTCTGATGGGCTCTGACAGGCAGGGCAGCAGCCGGCTCTCTGCCCACCCCCGGCACCCCCCACCCCGGCCCCCAGGGACCCTGATTCGATTTCCTCCGATCGCCCGCACTGCCATCTGCCCGGGGTAATTAAATGGCGTTTGAATCGGATCCAGAAATCCCATCGAAAGCAGCCCACGTGGCTGGGCGGGCGTCGGCGGGAGCTGGTCCGGCCGGCCTGACCCCGTGCCCCTGGGCACACCTGGACGCTGTGGGCACCGAGGGCGGGAGCGTTTGGTCCTGAGGCCCGGAGCCTGGTCCTGCCTGGAGCCTGTGCCCGGAGCCTGTCCTGCCCGGAGCCTGTGCCCGGAGCCTGTCCTGCCCGGAGCCTGTGCCCAGAACCTGGGTCCACAGCCTGTGCCCGGAGCCTGTGCCCGGAGCCCGGTCCTGCCCAGAGCCTGTGCCCGGAGCCTGTGCCCGGAGCCTGGTCCTGCCCGGAGCCTGGGCCCACAGCCTGGGCCCTACCCGGGCCCCACAGTAACGCAGCATCGTTTAAGATGCGCAAACACACTGCTGGCGTGGCTCCATGATGGAGTGTCCACCTAGGAACCAGGTGTCCAGGGTTCGATTCCCGGTCAGGGCACAGGCCCGGGTTGCAGGCTGGATCCCCTGTGTGGGGCGTGCAGGAAGCAGCCGGTCCGTGATTCCCTCTCATCATGGATGCTTCTCTCTCTTCCTCTCCCTTCCTCTCTGACATCAATTTTATATATATACATACATATATACACAAACACAGAGAGAGAGAGAGAGAGAGGGAGGGAGAGAGGGAGGGAGAGAGAGAGGGAGAGAGAGAGGGAGAGAGGGAGAGGGAGAGGGAGAGAGAGAGGGAGAGAGAGAGGGAGAGGGAGAGGGAGAGAGAGAGAAAACCCCAGGCCGCTGTTGGTGGGAGCACCGGGCCCGGAGCCCCTGACACCCGGTCCCCCCCCCCGTGCGGAGCAGGGGACAGACAGGCTTAGATGGGCTCAGGTGAGCCAGGCCTGCAGCTGGAGACAGCTGGGGCCTGGGCCAGCCCGGGGCGGGGCAGGGGCGGGAGGGCGGGAGCCCTGGCTCCGCGGCTGGGTGGCTCGGTGGCGGGCGCCCTGGGCCCGGCTGGGTGCCGGCTCAGCCTCGCTCTCTCCCCCTCTCGGGGTGAACATTGGCTCAGGGTTCCGGCCTGACAAGCAGCTCATTGTGAGGCCCGGCTGGCAGCGAGGGGCTGGCTGGTGCGGGGAGCCCCGGGCATCGGCGCCCGCCCCCCCCCCCTCGCTTTAGGCATCGGGGAGGTGCTCCCTGCCAATCCCGCCGCACATGCTCCCTGACTCACATCTGGTTGCCATGGCGAGGTCGTCATGGCAACGGCGGTTTGAAAGAGGGGTGGAAAGCTGCAGCCGGATGGAGGTAGCCCCGTCCGTGCCTAGCGCCCCCCTCAAACGGATGCCACTTCTCTTCCTTTTCGCAGGGGAGCCCCCTCCCCCATTCCCACCCACCCCCACCCCCACCCCGCCTGGCTCTGGGCTGTGGGCCTCCTGGGGCGGCCTGGGGCCCTGTTAGAGGCCCCGCCCTCAGCCCACTTGGCCTTCCTCGCTGGATCCTGCAGGGGGTGGGGGTGCTGGGTGAGAAACCAGAGCTGCTTCCCAAGAATGTCCGCCAGGCTCTGCCTCGGGGCGGGGTGGGGAGGGGGCGCCCCATCCGAGCAGGAGGTGCTCCGGCCCCCAGGCCTTCAGGAGGCTCTGGTCCCCTCCAGACCGGAGCCCCCGAGCGGCTAGGCCGGTCCCCCATCCCCGTCCCCGTCCCCCGTCCCCCGTCCCCGTCCCCGTCCCCGTCCCCCGTCCCCGTCCCCCGTCCCCCCCCCCCCGTCCCCGTCCCCGTCCCCCGTCCCCGTCCCCGTCCCCCATTCCCATCCCATCCCCGTCCCCCCCGTCCCCGTCCCCGTCCCCCGTCCCCCGTCCCCGTCCCCTCCCCCGTCCCCCGTCCCCGTCCCCGTCCCCCCCCACCCCGTCCCCGTCCCCGTCCCCGTCCCCCATCCCCGTCCCCCATCCCCATCCTCATTCCCCGTCCCCGTCCCCGTCCCCCTCCCCGTCACCCCGTCCCCCTCCCCGTCCCCCTCCCTGTCCCCATCCCCCGTCCCCGTCCCCGTCCCCCGTCCCCGTCTCCGTCCCCCCGTCCCCGTCCCCGTCCCCATCCCCATCCCCCATCCCCGTCCCCGTCCCCGTCCCCGTCCCAGTCCCCGTCCCCATCCCCCATCCCCGTCCCCGTCCCCCATCCCCGTCCCCGTCCCCGTCCCCCCGTCCCCGTCCCCGTCCCCGTCCCCCGTCCCCCGTCCCCCATCCCCGTCCCCGTCCCCGTCCCCCCGTCCCCGTCCCCGTCCCCGTCCCCCGTCCCCGTCCCCGTCCCCATCCCCATCCCCATCCCCATCCCCGTCCCCACTTGCCCGGGGCTCCCTGTGGAAGCGGGAGTGCCTGCTATTTTTATTGATTCCAGAGAGGAAAGGAGAGGGAGGGAGAGAGAAACATCAGTGATGAGAATCATCTGCCTCCCGCATGCCCCCCACTGGGGACGGAGCCCGCAACCCGGGCCTGTGCCCTGAGCGGGAACCGAACCCCGACCTCCTGGTTCATAGGTTGACGCTCAGCCACGGAGCTAAATCAGCTGAATTTATTATTTATTATTGTCCGTGTACAGAAGCTGCTCTGTGCTCTGCCGGGACGGGAGGTGTGGGGGAGCTCACTAAGCTTCCTTCTCCTCCAGCTCGGGGGTCCTGGGGGGGCTGGGGAGACAGGGCGGGGGGCGGGGGAGTTTTGGGGGCTCGGCGGTGGGGAGACTGGGCCGGGCTGACCGGCTCCCGCTCCCGGCAGGATCCGGCCGCAGCTGCCCAAGGAGAAGATCGAGGGCTGCCACGTCTGCACGTCGGTCACGCCGGGCGAGCCGCAGGTGCTGCTGGGCAAGGACAAGGCCTTCACCTACGACTTTGTCTTCGACCTGGACACGTGGCAGGAGCACGTATATGCCACCTGCGTGCGTAGGCTCATCGAGGGCTGCTTCGAGGGCTACAATGCCACGGTGCTGGCCTACGGGCAGGTGAGCCACGGCCTCGGCCACCACACCTGCCACGGCCACGCTGGCCACGGCCACGCCCGTCACCACACCCACCGAGCCTCCTCCCGGCAACGGGGCAAGAGCTCGGACCCGGGACCACAGGGGCCCAGGCGTGCATGTCCTCCCAGGATGCCATGGGGGTTGGGGGAAGGCTCTCAGCCCCAGTGGCTGCCTTGGGGTGGGGTTTGGGGCCAGGCCGGGCGGGGAGTCGGGGCGCGGGCGGGAGTCGGGGCGCGTCGGCTCACCCGCTCGGTCTCGGCGCAGACGGGGGCCGGGAAGACGTACACCATGGGCACCGGCTTCGACACGGCGGCGGCGGCGGAGGAGCAGGGCATCGTGCCCCGGGCCATCGCCCACCTCTTCGGCGGCATCGCCGAGCGCCAGCGGCGGGCCCGGGAGCAGGGCCTGGCCCGGCCCGAGTTCAAAGTCAGCGCCCAGTTCCTGGAGGTGCGGGGCGGCGGGCGGGCCGGCGGGCGGGTGGAGAGGACGAGCCGTGGGAGCCGGAAGGCCGTGGGGGACCCGGAAAGGGGCTGGAGAGCCGTGGCTCCCGCACGCTCTGGCCTCTGGCCCCGCCGGCCCTGCCTGCCCCCGGAGTCTCCTCTGACCCCAGGAAGGAAGGGCCGGGCCTCCTGCCGCCCCCGCCCCCATCCGGATCAAAGGCCCCGAACCCAGAACCGGAGGGGAGGGCACAGGGCTGGTCGGGGGACCTCCAGGCCTCAGTTTCCCGGTCTGCAGAGTGGAGCAGCCTGTCCATAGGCAGAGCCCAGCCCTGTCCCTTCCCCCCCCTCCCAGCTCTACAACGAGGAGATCCTCGACCTCTTCGACGCCGCCCGCGACCCCGAGGCCCGGCACCGCCGCTCCAACATCAAGATCCACGAGGACGCGCAGGGCGGCATCTACACGGCCGGCGTCACCTCCCGCCTCATCAGCTCCCAGGAGGAGGTGTGCGGGGGCCGGGGGGCGGGGGCGGGGCGGGGCCGGGGGCGGGGTCCGGGGTCAGGCCTGCGGGGGACCTCACGGCCGCCTCTCCCCCCGCCCCCCCAGCTGATCCAGTGCCTGCGGCAGGGCGCCCTGTCCCGCACCACGGCCAGCACCCAGATGAACGTGCAGAGCTCCCGCTCCCACGCCATCTTCACCATCCACCTGTGCCAGACGCGCGTGTGCGCCCGGCGGGAGCCGGTGAGGGGCCCGGGGCCCTGGGATGGGGGGAGCCTGGGCCCGGAGGGGCCTGTGCCCGGGGGGAGGGGCCTGTGCCGGGGGGAGGGGCCTGTGCCCAAGGGGTGGGGCCTGGGCTCGGAGGGGCCTGTGCCCGGGGGGTGGGGCCTGGGCTCGGAGGGGCCTGTGCCCGGTGGGGCCTGTGCCCGGGGGGAGGGGCCTGTGCCCGGAGGGGAGGGGCCTGTGCCCGGGGGCGGGGCCTGTGCCCGGGGGCGGGGCCTGTGCCCGGGAGCGGGGCCTGTGCCCGGGGGAGGGGCCTGTGCCCGGGGGCGGGGCCTGTGCCCTGGGGCGGGGCCTTGCCCGGGGGCGGGGCCTGTGCCCTGGGGCGGGGCCTGTGCCCGGGGCGGGGCCTTGCCCGGGGGCGGGGCCTGTGCCCGGGGGCGGGGCCTGTGCCGGGGGCGGGGCCTGTGCCGGGGGGCGGGGCCTGTGCCCGGGGGCGGGGCCTTGCCCGGGGGCGGAGTCAGCGGCCGCCCTCCCGCAGGTGCACCAGGCGGTGACGGGGCTGCCGGAGGGCGCCGCGCCCGCCCCGGAGTACGAGACCCTCACGGCCAAGTTCCACTTCGTGGACCTGGCGGGCTCCGAGCGGCTGAAGCGGACGGGGGCCACGGGCGAGCGGGCGAAGGAGGGCATCTCCATCAACTGCGGCCTGGTAGGCCGGGCGGGCCGGGGGCCGGGGAGGCGGGGCCGGGGGCCGGGGAGGCGGGGCCGGGGGCCGGGGCGGCGGGGCCGGGGCCGGGGCTGGGGGCCGGGGCGGCGGGGCCGGGGGCCGGGGGCCGGGGCGGCGGGGCCGGGGCCGGGGCTGGGGGCCGGGGCGGCGGGGCGGGGGCCAGGGGCCGGGGCCAGGGGCCGGGGGCCGGGGCGGCGGGGCCGGGGCGGGCGGCCCGGAGCCCCTCCAGCCCCCGTCTGTCCGTCCCCGCAGTTGGCCCTGGGCAACGTGATCAGCGCGCTGGGCGACCAGAGCAAGAAGGCGGGGCACGTGCCCTACCGGGACTCCAAGCTCACGCGGCTGCTCCAGGACTCGCTGGGCGGCAACAGGTGCCGGCGGGGCGGGACTTCCTGGGGAGGGAGGGCAGGGTGAGGAGCCCCTCCCCCGGGAAAGGAGACCCCGCTCTGGGCTGCGGGTGGGACGCGGGGCCGGGAGGCGCCCCTGAGCTCGGGCGGTAGGTGGGGACTCTTCTGCACTCACACTCACACACATACACATACACACTCTCATACACACACACTCACACTGTTCACACACACACGTACACACACGTACACACACACACTCACTCACACACCCAGGAGAGGGACAGTCCCTGAAGGAAGTGACAGCCCGGCCGCCGGGCTCAGGGGCTGAGCGTCCACCTGTGAACCAGGAGCTCAGGGTTCGATTCCCGGTCAGGGCACAGGCCCAGGCTGTTGGCTGGATCCCCAGTGTGGGGCGTGCAGGAGGCCGCCTATCTGTGATTCTCTTTCATTACGAATGTTTCTATCTCTCTCTCCCTCTCCCTTCCTCTCTGACATCAATAAAGGAATATATTATAAAAATAAAAAGGTGACAGATGCCCTAACCAGTGTGGCTCAGTGGATAGAGCATCGGCCTGTGGACTAAAGGTCCCAGGTTCGATTCCGGTCAGAGGCATGTACCTTGGTGGCGGGCACATCCTCAGTGGGGCGTGTGCAGGAGGCAGCTGATGGATGTTTCTCTCTCATCGAAGTTTCTGACTCTCTCCCCCTCGTCCTTCCTCTCTTAAAAAATCAATAAAATATATTTTCAAAAAAATACAAAGGTGACAGAGCCCAGACGGGTACTAGATGGAAAACGGTAAAGAGGTGCAGGGCCGTCTCTCTGGCCTGGCCCCTCACAGTCGCCCCGACATTGCCCGCCACCTGCTCCGTGGGGTGAGGGTCCCCACCACCCAGTTCTGCCCGTGAGGCCCAGTCCTCAGGCCACGGGGTGCAGAGAGGGCGGTGGGCGGGTGCTCTGCTCTGAGGCCGAGCTTCTGGGGCGCCGGCTGCGCCCGGAACCCTCACTTCCCCCTGCTGCGCCCCCCCCACCCCAGCCAGACCATCATGATCGCCTGCGTGAGCCCCTCGGACCGGGACTTCATGGAGACACTCAACACCCTCAAGTACGCCAACCGGGCGCGCAACATCAAGAACAAGGTGGTGGTGAACCAGGACAAGACCAGCCAGCAGATCAGCGCGCTGCGGGCCGAGATCGCCCGCCTGCAGATGGAGCTGCTGGAGTACAAGGCGGTGAGCGCTCGCGCGCGCACACACACACACACACACATGCACGTACACACACCACACACGCACACAGACACACTCAGACTCACAGACACAGACACACACTCACACACAGACACACTCACACACACACTCACTCACACACACAGACACACACACACTCACACACACACAGACACACACTCACATACACACACACTCACACACACTCACACACACACAGACACACACAGACACACACTCAGACTCACAGACACAGACACACACTCACATACACTCACACACATACACACTCACACACACACACACACACAGAGACACACACACACACAGACACACACTCACACTCACACATACACACTCACACACACACACTCACATACATACACACTCACACACTCAGACTGACACACACACACACACAGGGTTGCGTGGCCGGTCTCACGGCTCGTAGACTCAGAGCCAGACTCAGCCTCCCGGGCCGGACTGCAGGGCAGCCCTGGGGCAGGCCGGGCCTGGGGAGGCAGAGCGGAGAGTCGGCCCTCCCTCCTGGGTGGTCAGGGAGGGCTTCCTGGAGGAGGGGTCCTTTCCGTGGCCCCGGCGGCAGGAAGGAGCGATGGGCGGGGGCGCGGGGGGCAGGCCTTGTAGGGTGTGGACACGGGTCCCGGGGGGTGTACCGGGTTCCCTGTGGCTGAGGCGCCTGGCTCCTCCCCACTCCCCCCACCCCAGGGCAAGAGGGTGGCCGGGGAGGACGGCAGCGAGGGCTACAGCGACCTGTTCCGGGAGAACGCCATGCTGCAGAAGGAGAACGGGGCGCTGCGCCTGCGGGTCAAGGCCATGCAGGAGGCCATCGACGCCATCAACAGCCGCGTCACCCAGCTCATGAGCCAGGAGGCCAGCCTGCTGCTGGCCAAGGCCGGTGAGTGGGCGCCGGCCGGCCGGCGAGTGGGCAGCGGGGCCAGGGCGCCCCCCCTCCTCCCGCCACGGCCGGGAGACAGACGGCGGGCGAGGCCAGCCCAGGAGCTCACCCAGCCGTTCGTGCATGCACCTGCTCCCAATCAATTTCAACTTTTTAAAAAATATATGTTTTTGCCGAAACCGGTTTGCCTCGGTGGATGGAGCGTCGGCCTGCAGACTGAAGGGTCCCAGGTTCGATTCCGGTGAAGGGCATGGACCTTGGTTGCAGGCACATTCCCAGTGGGGGGCGTGCAGGACGTAGCCGATCGATGTTTTTGTCTCATCGATGTTCCAGCTCTCTCTTCCTCTCCTTTCCTCTCTGTAAAAAATCAGTAAAATATATTTTAAAAAATAAATAAAATAAAAATATATGTTTTTATTGATGAGAAAGAGAGAGAATCACGGATCGGCTGCCTCCCGCACGCCCCCACACTGGGGATGGAGCCTGCAACCCGGGCCTGTGCCCTTAACCGGGAATCGAACCCATGACCTCCGGGGTCAGAGGCCCGCGCTCACCACTGAGCCGCACCAGCCGGGCTTGACGTTGCCTTTGTGGCTCCCTCCGCCCAGGTGACGGCAACGAGGCCATCGGCGCCCTGATCCAGACCTACATCCGGGAGATCGAGGAGCTGCGGTGAGGGGGCCGGCACGCTGGGCCCCGGGCCCCCGGGGAGCCTGGCCGCCGAGGGGACCGCTCACCCGGCCCCCCCCCCCCAGGACCAAGCTGCTGGAGAGCGAGGCCATGAACGAGTCGCTGCGGCGCAGCCTGTCCCGGGCCGCCGCGCGGGGCCCCTTCCCCCCGGGCTCGTCCCCGGGGCCGGGGCTGGGGGGCCCGGCCGGGCCCATGGAGGACGCCGCGGACGTGATCCGCCGGGCCAAGCAGGACCTGGAGCGGCTCAAGAAGAGGGAGGTCCGGCAGCGGAGGAAGAGGCGAGCGAGCCCGGGGGCACCAGGGGCACCGGGGGCAGAGCCACCTGCTGCCGCTGTCCGTCCGCCCGGGAGAGGGGGCGGGGGGCCCGGGAGAGGGGGGCGGGGGGCCCGGGAGAGGGGGCGGGGGGCCCGGGAGAGGGGGCGGGGGGCCCGGGAGAGGGGGCGGGGGGCCCGGGAGAGGGGGGCGGGGTCCCGGGAGAGGGGGCGGGGGGCCCGGAAGAGGGGGGCGGGGGGCCCGGGAGAGGGGGCGGGGGGCCCGGGAGAGGGGCGGGGGGCCCGGGAGAGGGGGGCGGGGTCCCGGAGAGGGGGCGGGGGGCCCGGGAGAGGGGGACGGGGGCCCGGGAGAGGGGGCGGGGGGGCCCGGGGGGGGGGCGGGGGCGGGGGGCCCGGGAGAGGGGGGCCCCCGGGGGAGAAGGGGGCGGGGGGCCCCGGAGAGGGGGGGCGGGGGGCCCGGGAGAGGGGGCGGGGGGGCCCGGAGAGGGGGGCGGGGTCCCGGGAGAGGGGGCGGGGGGCCCGGGAGAGGGGGCCGGGGGGCCGGGGAGGGGGGGCGGGGGGCCCGGGAGGGGGGGCGGGGGGCCCGGGAGAGGGGGGGGGGGGCCCGGTGTCTGTGGCCGGGGGACAGGAGGTGCGGCCAGACGCTGCAGAGCCGGAACCCGGTCCTGTCCTATGACCCCCAGACAAGACAAGCCTCCCCCCAGCCCCACCCCCACCCCCAGGCTCAGGCAGGTCTGCCCCCTGACCCCGCCTGCCCCCCCCAGCCCGGAGAAGGAGGCCTTCAAAAAGAGGGCGAAGCTCCAGCCGGACCCCGGCGAGGAGACGGACGAGAACGAGGACAATGAGGTGGAGGAGGTGAGCCTGATCCCTCCCTCCCCTCCCCTCCGCTCCTCCCTCCCCTGCTTTTCCCTCCCCTCCTCTCCCTCCCTGCCCTCCTTCCTCTCCCCTTCCTTTCCCTCCCTTTCCTCTCCCTCCCCTCCTCTTCCTCCCCTGCCCTCCCTCCTCTCCCCTTCCTTTCCCTCCCCTTCCTCTCCCTCCTCTCCTCTTCCTCCCCTGCCCTCCCTCCCCTCCCCTTCCTTTCCCTCCCCTCTCTCCCCTCCCCTTCCCTCCCCTCTCTCTCCTCTCCTTCCTTCTCCTCCCCCCTGCTTTTCCCTCCCCTCCTCTCCCTCCCCTGCCCTCCCCTCCCCTCTCCTCTCCTCTCCTTCCTTCTCCTCTCCCCTGCTTTTCCCTCCCCTCCCCTTCCTTTCCCTCCCCTCTCTCCCCTCCCCTCCCCTCCCCTCTCCCCTCCTCTCCTTCCTTCTCCTCTCCCCTGCTTTTCCCTCCCCTCCCCTTCCTTTCCCTCCCCTCTCTCCCCTCCCCTCCCCTCCCCTCCCCTCTCCCCTCCTCTCCTTCCTTCTCCTCTCCCCTGCTTTTCCCTCCCCTCCCCTTCCTTTCCCTCCTCTCTCCCTCTCCCCTCCCCTCCCTCCCCTCCGCACACTCACCCACTCCTGCAGCCCTCCTTGTGCACAGGGGGGATGGTGCTTGGTCCGCCTCCGGCTCGCTCTGCTGGTTACCATGGTGACCTCCATCCCTCAGTCCCCCCGGATCCCAGTGCGGGTGGGGGGTCACTGCCCGGGCTACGGGGGGGGGGGGGGGTGGCTCCCTCCAGTTCGGAGGTGGCACAAGGGCCCCGACGAGGACCCCACACCCCACCCGTCTCCCGCCTGCGGGGACGTCGGGACCGGCCTCTGCTCTGGGCGCCCCTCCTGAGGCCGGTCCAGCCTGGTGATGGCGCTCGTGGGCAGGAGGAGGAGGACCTGGACGAGGAGGAGGAGGGCCGTGAGGACGAGGACGAGGACTCGGGCAGCGAGGAGAGCCTGGTGGACTCGGACTCGGACCCCGAGGCGAAGGGTGCGAGGGTCCCCCGGAGCCCTCGGGTCTCAGAGAGAGAGAGGGTGGCCGGGCCGGGGACCTGGGCCGGGAAACGGAGCCCGGCAGGCAGCACCCAGGGGGCGAGCTCCCGGAGGGCGCTGGGCTGAGGGTGGTGGCGGCCGGGCCCCGGTGCCCGGGCGCCCGGGTCAGGCCCGTCTCTGCCCGCAGAGGTGAACTTCCAGGCCGACCTGGCCGACCTGACGTGCGAGATCGAGATCAAGCAGAAGCTGATCGACGAGCTGGAGAACAGCCAGCGGCGGCTGCAGACGCTCAAGCACCAGTACGAGGAGAAGCTGATCCTGCTGCAGAACAAGATCCGGGACACCCAGCTGGAGAGGGACCGCGTGCTGCAGAACCTCAGTGAGCCCGCCCACAGCGCGGCAGCCCCGCCCACAGCGCGGCAGCCCCGCCCACAGCGCGGCAGGCCCCGCCCACAGCGCGGCAGCCCCGCCCACAGGCCCCGCTCCCCTCTCCTGCTTTCTTCCTGCCCACAGCACCAGCCCTGCAGGCCCCGCCTCTCCTGCTCCCCAGGCCCCGCCCATAGTACTGCAGGCCCCTCCCACAGTCATGCAGGCCCCGCCCACAGTGCTTCAGGCCCCGCCCCCTCTCCAGCTTCCTGCCCACTGCACCAGCCCTGCAGGCCCCGCCCACAGTCATGCAGGCCCCGCCCACAGTGCTTCAGGCCCCGCCCCCTCTCCTGCTTCCTGCCCACTGCACCAGCCCTGCAGGCCCTGCCCATAGCATTGCAGGCCCCTCCGACAGCCCCACAGGCCCCGCCCACATCACTACAAACCCCGCCCATAGCCATGCAGGCCCCGCCCCACGCCCAGCCCAGCTATACAGGCCCCGCCCTCCTGCTCCTCAAGCCCCACCCACTGGTAGAGGGGCGTGGCCTCCCCGGTTCAGGCAGGGCCCATGGGGACTGACGTGGCCCTAACGGCCACCTCTCTCTCTCTCTCTCTCTCTCTCTCTCTCTCTCTCTCTCTCTCTCTCTCCCTTTCTCTCTCTCTCTCTCTCTCCCTCCTCTCTCTTCCCCTCTCTCTCTCTCTCCCCCTCCCTCTCTCTTCCTCTCCCCCCCTCTCTCTCTCTCTCCCTCTCCCCCCCCAGGCACCATGGAGTGCTACACGGAGGAGAAGGCCAACAAGATCCGGGCGGACTACGAGCGGCGGCTGCGGGAGATGCACCGGGACCTGCAGAAGCTGCAGGCGGCGCAGAAGGAGCACGCGCGGCTGCTCAAGAACCAGACCCGCTACGAGCGCGAGCTGCGGCGGCTGCAGGCCGAGGTGGCCGAGATGAAGAAGGCCAAGGTGGGCCGGGGGTCACCTCCGGACCCCCCCGCGGCCCGCGGCATGGCCGCCCGCTGCCTCCTGCACCGGGCTGGCCCCTCACCCGCACCCCCACCCCCACCCCCACCCCCACCCCCAACCCCACCCCCAACCCCGCCGCGGTCCGCAGCTCGTCCACACCGGCCACCAGCCTCCTCCACCCTCACCTGGTCCTGGGGGCTGGCCCCTCACCCGCACCCCCACCCCCACCCCAACCCCAACCCCCACCCCCAACCCCGCCGCGGTCCGCAGCTCCGTCCACACCGGCCACCAGCCGGACCCAGGACGGTGGCTTAGGGCGGGGGGACCAGGGCCGGGAGCGGGGGGCCGGGTGGGACATGGCTGGGCGGGGGTGGCCCAGGAGGAAGGGCAGCGCAGCCCCGGCGGAGGAGTGGGGGGGGGGGCCTCAGGGGCCCCCCGGCAGGCTGCCCGGCGGCCCCCCACCCCCGCCCAGGGAGGGGGCGCCTGCTCAGCCCCCCGCCCCCTGCCCCCAGGTGGCCCTGATGAAGCAGATGCGGGAGGAGCAGCAGCGGCGGCGGCTGGTGGAGACCAAGAGGAACCGGGAGATCGCGCAGCTCAAGAAGGAGCAGCGGCGACAGGAGGTGAGGGTGCCCGCCCCCCAACACCCCACGGCCAGTCCCGGCCAGCAGGCTGAGAGGCGGGGCCTGTAGCTGGAGGGCGTGGTGATGGGCGGGGCCTGAAGCTGGAGGGCGTGGTGATGGGCGAGGTCTGTAGCGAGAGGGCGTGGCCTGTGGCAGGAGGGTGTGGTGATGGGCGGGGCCTGGAGGAAGGGCTGGTGGGCGGGGCCTGGAGCAGGAGGGTGTGGTGATGGGCGGGGCCTGGAGGGGAGGGCATGGTGGTGGGCGGGGCTTCATTGCGGTTCTGCAGCCTCATGTTCCGGGGTCGGGATCCGCCCTGGAGGGGCAGGAGCTTGCAGAGCCCCAGCCAGGCCTCCTGGCCCAGGATGGGGACCAGAGGCCGGAGAATGGCCCTGGGGGTGGGGGTCCCTGCGCTCTGGGCCTTTGATCTGCACACTGATCGGCCCAGCCCAGGCCTCTGCCCGCCGCCCTGAGGGGACCGGTCTCCCCCGCAGTTTCAGATCCGCGCTCTGGAGTCCCAGAAGCGGCAGCAGGAGCTGGTGCTGAGGAGGAAGACGCAGGAGGTGAGGGTGCCCCCCCCAGCCGCCCCCGCGGATCCCCCGGGGCTGGGAACCTGGGCCCGCTCCCTCCTTCCCCCCGGACACCGCCTGACCGGGCTGAGGCCGGAGGCGGCTGCAGGCTCCGGTCCCACCTTTAAAACAAACAGAAAAGCCTTCGGTGACCATGTCACAGCAGACAGGCCCTGCCTCAGCCCCAGCCCAGGCTGGACAGAGGGCCCCATGCTCCCCCTCCCTGTCCCCCCATCACTGTCCCTGCTCACCGGGCCCCTCCCTCCCTGTCCCCCATCACGGGGCCCTGCTCACCGGACCCCTCCCTGTCCCCCCATCACTGGCCCTGCTCACCGGCCCCCTCCCTGTCCCCCATCACTGTCCCTGCTCACCGGCCCCCTCCCTGTCCCCCATCACCGGCCCTGCTCACCGGCCCCCTCCCTGTCCCCCCATCACCGGCCCTGCTCACCGGCCCCCTCCCTGTCCCCCCATCACCGGCCCTGCTCACCGGGCCCTCCCTGTCCCCCCATCACTGGCCCTGCTCACCGGCCCCTCCCTGTCCCCCCATCACTGGCCCTGCTCACCGGGCCCTCCCTCCCTGTCCCCCCATCACCGGCCCTGCTCACCGGCCCCTCCCTGTCCCCCCATCACCGGCCCTGCTCACCGGCCCCTCCCTGTCCCCCCATCACCGGCCCTGCTCACCGGCCCCTCCCTGTCCCCCCATCACCGGCCCTGCTCACCGGCCCCTCCCTGTCCCCCCATCACCGGCCCTGCTCACCGGCCCCCTCCCTGTCCCCCCATCACCGGCCCTGCTCACCGGGCCCTCCCTGTCCCCCCATCACCGGCCCTGCTCACCGGCCCCTCCCTGTCCTCCCATCACCGGCCCTGCTCACCGGCCCCTCCCTGTCCCCCCATCATGGGGCCCTGCTCACCGGGCCCCTCCCTGTCCCCCCATCACCGGCCCTGCTCACCGGCCCCTCCCTCCCTGTCCCCCCATCACCGGCCCTGCTCACCGGGCCCTCCCTGTCCCCCCATCACCGGCCCTGCTCACCGGCCCCTCCCTGTCCCCCCATCACCGGCCCTGCTCACCGGGCCCTCCCTGTCCCCCCATCACCGGCCCTGCTCACCGGCCCCTCCCTGTCCCCCCATCACTGGCCCTGCTCACCGGCCCCTCCCTGTCCCCCCATCACCGGCCCTGCTCACCGGCCCCCTCCCTGTCCCCCCATCACTGTCCCTGCTCACCGGCCCCCTCCGGCCCAGGTCTCTGCGCTGAGGCGCCTGGCCAAGCCCATGTCCGAGCGGGCGGCGGGGCGCGTGGGCCCCAAGCCCTCCATGCTGGACTCGGGGGCCGAGGTGTCCGCCAGCACCACCTCGTCCGAGGCCGAGTCCGGCGCCCGCTCCGTGTCCACCATCGTGCGCCAGTGGAACCGGAAAACCAACCACTTCCTGGGCGACCACACCGCAGCCACGGCCCACGGCGCCCGGCCCGCCAGGTGAGGGGCCCGGGAGGCGAGCCCAGGGGAGCGGGGCGCCGGGGCCTGTGGCCGTCAGCTCCTCCGTGGCCGCCCCGTGGCCGCCAGCTCCCGCCGTGGACACCCCCTGGCTGTCAGCTCCCGCCGTGGCCACCCCCTGGCTGTCAGCTCCTGCCATGGCCGCCCCGTGGCCGTCAGCTCCCGCCGTGGCCGCCCCCTGGCTGTCAGCTCCCGCCGTGGCCACCCCCTGGCTGTCAGCTCCTGCCATGGCCGCCCCGTGGCCGTCAGCTCCCGTCATGGCCACCCCCTGGCTGTCAGCTCCCGTCATGGCCACCCCCTGGCTGTCAGCTCCTCCGTGGCCTCCCCCTGGCTGTCAGCTCCCGCCGTGGCCTCCCCGAGGCTGTCAGCTCCCGCCGTGGCCTCCCCGAGGCTGTCAGCTCCCGCCGTGGCCGCCCCGTGGCCGTCAGCTCCCGTCATGGCCACCCCCTGGCTGTCAGCTCCCGTCATGGCCACCCCCTGGCTGTCAGCTCCTCCGTGGCCTCCCCCTGGCTGTCAGCTCCCGCCGTGGCCTCCCCGAGGCTGTCAGCTCCCGCCGTGGCCGCCCCCGTGGCCGTCAGCTCCCGCCGTGGCCACACCCTGGCCGTCAGCTCCCGCCGTGGCCTCCCCGTGGCTGCGGGGTGGGGAGAGGGGGGACCACCACCCAGCCCACTCTCTGCCGCCCCAGGAAGAAGCTCCAGAAGAGGGGCCAGGCCTCCAGCCAGGCGGCGCGGCTCAAGTGGCAGTCGCTGGAGCGCAGGGTCATCGACATCGTGATGCAGAGGATGACGCTGGCCAACCTGGAGGCCGACATGGAGAGGCTCATCAAGGTGGCCGTCCCCCTGCTCCCCGCCCTCCCTGCACCCCCTCCTTCTTCCTGCACCCCCCTCTATATCCCTCCCTTTTCCGCACCCCGCCCTCCCTGCTCCCCGCCCTCCCTGCACCCCTCCTTCTCTCCCTCTGTACCCTTCTCTCCCTCTGCACCCCCTCTATATCCCTCCCTTTCCCGCACCCGCCCTCTCTGCTCCCCGCACTCCCTGCACCCCCTTCTCCTCTCTGCACCCCGACCCCCCTGCACCCTGCCCTCCCGCCTGCACCCCACACTCCCTCCCTCTGGTCTCTGCCCTCCTCTCTGCACCCCGCCCTCTCTCTGATACCCGCCCTCCCACCTGCACCCCGCCCTCCTGCCAGCTCCCCTCCCTCCCATTTGCAATCCTCTGCCATCAGCTGTCACTTTAAAATATATATATATTATTGATGTCAGAGAGGAAGGGGGAGGGCGATAGAGTTAGAAGCATCCATGATGAGAGAGGATCATGGACCGGCTGCCTCCTGCACCCCCCTGTGCCCTGGCCGGGAATGGAACCGGGACCTCCTGGCTCACAGGGCCACGTCACCCACGGAGCCACGCCGCCCGCCGTGGCCGTCCGCTGTCCCTCTGCCGGCCCCTCTGAGTGCGGGGTCCCCAGGAGGCTGGGGGGCGGGCGGCGTGGGCAGGCTGGACCGCACCCTGAGCCCCCCCCCCCGCCCCCCAGAAAAGGGAGGAGCTGTTCCTCCTGCAGGAGGCACTGCGGTGCAGGCGGGAGCGGCTGCAGGCGGAGAGCCCGGGGGACGGGGGGCTGCAGGAGCTGGCGGAGGAGCTGGAGGCGCTGGCGGCCAACATCGACTACATCAACGACAGCATCTCCGACTGCCAGGCCACCATCGTGCAGCTGGAGGAGACCAAGGTGCGGCCGCACAGGGCGGAGGGTGCAGGGAGCGGGGTGCAGGGAGCCAGGTGGGGTGCAGCCCTGCTGACCCGGCCTCTGCCTCCGGCCCCAGGAGGAGCTGGACTCGACGGACACGTCCGTGGTCATCAGCTCCTGCTCGCTGGCCGAGGCCCGCCTCCTGCTGGACAACTTCCTCAAGGCGTCCATCGACAAGGTGGGCGGCCGCAGCTGCCGGACGGGACCCGCCCCCCCGGCTGGGCTGCTGGACGGGACCCCCACCCCCTCCCGGCCGGGCTGCTGGACGGGACCCCACCCCCTCCCGGCCGGGCTGCTGGACGGGACCCCCACCCCCTCCCGGCCGGGCTGCTGGACGGGACCCCCACCCCCTCCCGGCCGGGCTGCTGGACGGGACCCCCACCCCCTCCCGGCCGGGCTGCTGGACGAGACCACCCCCCTCCCGGCCGGGCTGCTGGACGGGACCACCCCCCCCCCAGCCAGGCTGCTGGACGGGACCACCCCCCGGCCGGGCTGCTGGACGGGACCCCACCCCCTCCCGGCTGGGCTGCTGGGCGCCACGGCACTCCCAGGCCCCGGTTGGGCCCTGCCTGGGGAACGACACAGACACCCCGAGGCTGCAGCTTGTTTGGCAGCATTTTTAATGGGGACACCTGCTCCCCGGCCAGCCCGTCGGAGCGACTGGGCTGGAGTCTGCTGGGGGCGGAGGGCAAGTGCGTGGACATGTGCTGGGGGGGGGCAGTGCGGACGGACAGACCGACGGACGGACCACATCCCATAGCAGGGTCCAGCCAGGACAGCGGGGTCCCGGGCGTGTCTGTGTTGGACACAGGACGTGCTTCCTCGCCCCAGCGGCGGCCTTCAGGGACAGGCACCCGAGGGGGGCGTGCAGTCCAGCTCTGGACGGGGAGCCTGCCCCCACCCCACCCCCAACTCCTCACCCGTCCCCCTCTCTGTTTTTTGTTTTAATATATTTTTATTGATGTCAGAGAGGAAGGGAGAGAGAGAGAGAGAGAAACACCCACGCTGAGAGAGAATCATGGATCAGCTGCCTCCTGCACGCCCCCCCCAGGGATGGAGCCCCCCAAAGACCCCACTACTGACAGCCACACCCCGAGATCCTGTGTGGGGACAGCCAAGGGGGCTCAGGGCGCACCCCAGATCTAAGCCAGGCACAGGTGCCGTCTGGGAGTTCCGGGGGTCCCTCCGGGGGTCCCCCTGGAGGCGTGAGGGCAGGGATGGGGGTCCCCCTGGAGGCGTGAGGACAGGGATGGGGGTCCTCCTGGAGGCGTGAGGGCAGGGATGGGGGTCCCCCTGGAGGCGTGAGGGCAGGGATGGGGGTCCCCCTGGAGGCGTGAGGGCAGGGATGGGGGTCCCCCTGGAGGCGTGAGGGCAGGGATGGGGGTGCCCCTGGAGGCGTGAGGGCAGGGATGGGGGTGCCCCTGGAGGCGTGAGGGCAGGGATGGGGGTCCCCCTGGAGGCGTGAGGGCAGGGATGGGGGTGCCCCTGGAGGCGTGAGGGCAGGGATGGGGGTCCCCCGGTGGTGTGAGGGCAGGGATGGGGGTCCCCCGGTGGTGTGAGGGCAGGGATGGGGGTCCCCCGGTGGTGTGAGGGCAGGGATGGGGTGCCCCTGGCCCCGGCCGGGGGGTCACCCGGCGGCTCCCCGTCCCCAGGGGCTGCAGGTGGCCCAGAAGGAGGCGCAGATCCGGCTGCTGGAGGGACGGCTGCGGCAGACGGACCTGGCCGGCCCCGCCCAGAACCACCTGCTGCTGGACGCCCTGCGGGAGAAGGCGGAGGCGCACCCCGAGCTGCAGGCCCTCATCCACAACGTGCAGCAGGGTGTGCGGGGCGGGGGGAAGGAGGATGGGGTGGGGGGCCCGGCCTCAGGGCTTCGGGGGGACCCTGGCTCCCCCAGTCCCATCCGACCCCCCTCTCCGCCCCCCCCCCCAGAGAACGGCTACACCAGCACCGACGAGGAGGTTTCCGAGTTCTCCGAGGGCAGGTGAGTCCACGGGGGGGGGGGGGGGAGGACAGGACCCCGCGGGCCTGGGGGGGCGGTGGGGGGACCGGACGGGGTCCCCGGGGCGCCCCAGGCTCTCGGGGTTCTGAGCTTCCCCTGCTCCTCCCTCAGCTTCTCCCAGTCCTTCACCATGAAAGGCTCCAGCAGCCACGACGACTTCAAGTTCAAGGTGAGCCCCCCACCCTCACCCTCACCCTTCACCTCTCACCCCTCACCCCTCACCCCTCTGCCTTCTGCCCTCACCCCTCACCCCCAGCCCTCACCCCTCACCCCTCACCCCCAGCCCTCACCCCTCACCCCTCTGCCCTCTGCCCTCACCCCTCACCCCTCACCCCCAGCCCTGTGCTGCCTCCTGTGGGGCCGGGCGGGTGCAGGTGTGGAACCGGGTGCAGCCTGTTCTTTTGGAATCGGGGAGCAGGGGGTGCAGGGGCTTGGGGGGGAGAAAGGGGAGGAGCGGCCTGAGCCACTGCCTGTGGCCTCCCCTTAGCCCAGGGCCCCCCCTTCCCGCTTTCAAAACCTCCTTCTTCCCCGGCCCAGACCCAAGCCAGCAGCTCCCAGGTCCACGGTGGTTGTTGTGGGCGCAGCTCCGTCGGCCACCAGCAGGGGCAGCAGCGAGCCTTTGGGGGCCTGGGCGGGTGCGGCCACCGGGGCTTCAACCAAGAAACGGGATTTTTCGTTTTTATTAATTAATTAATTTATTTACTTATTTTTAAATGGCTCCAGCACCCAGGGACTGAGAGTCAGAGGGTTTTTTGTTTTGTTTTGTTTTTTAGTTTTTAGTTTTTAAAATATATTTTATTGACTCCACACAGAGGAAGGGAGAGGGAGAGTCAGAAACATCGATGAGAGAAACATCCATCAGCTGCCTCCTGCACGCCCCCCACTGGGGATGTGCCTGCAGCCGGGCCTGTGCCCCAACCGGGAATCGAACCCGGACCTCGGGCAGGAAACGGGGGTTCTTGAGAGAGAACTGTGCAGTGTGGGGTGCGAGGGTGGGGTGCGCGGTCCCCGTGAGGGCAGAAAGCCCGTGCCTGCCGCCTCGCGTCTGCCGGGAGCCTTGAGTCACGGGCTCAGGGTGGTGTGTGGAGGGTCCACCGGGGGCTCTGCCTCCGTCCCCCCCCCGGAGACCCCCCCAGATGACGCGTCACCCCGCGGGCGCCTCCCCACCAGGGCGAGCCCAAGCTGTCGGCGCAGATCAAGGCGGCGTCGGCCGAGTGCCTGGGGCCCCCGCTGGACAGCGCCACCAAGAGCATCACCAAGTCCCTGGCCTCGCTGGCGGAGATCACCGAGGGCGGAGCCGGCCTGTCCCTGCGAGGCCTGTTCCCCCGGGACAGGGTGTCCCGCACCGTCAGCCTGCCCACCCGCGGCAGCACCTTGTGAGCGGGCGGGGCGGGGGCGGGTGCGGGCGGGGCGGGCGGGCCGGGCCTCCCCCGGCCTCACCAGGGCCTGTTCCCCTGGGACTGGGTGTCCCGCACCGTCAGCCTGCCCGCCCGAGGCAGCACCTTGTGAGCGGGCGGGGCGGGCGGGGCGGGCAGGGCCAGCAGGGCCAGCAGGGCCGGGCCTCCCCCGGCCTCACCGTGCGGGGCCTGTTCCCCCGGGACAGGGTGTCCCGCACCGTCAGCCTGCCCGCCCGCGGCAGCACCTTGTGAGCGGGCGGGGCGGGGGCGGGGGCGGGCGGGGCGGGCGGGCGGGCCTCCCCAGGGCCGGCCGGGCCTCACCGCCCTCCTCCCGCCAGCCCCCGGCAGTCCCGAGCCGCGGACACGTCCCCGCTGAGCCGCAGGAAGTCCTACGACCGCGGGCAGCCGGTCAGGTGAGCGTGTCCCAGGCGTGGCTGCCCAGCGTGGCCGCCCGGCGTGGCTGCCCGGCGTGGCCGCCCGGCGTGGCCGCCTGGCGTGAGGCAGTGATGTCCACGCCGTGGATCCTCTCGGGACCCACGCCACCCACCTCCCCCAGGCTCCCTCCCCCGCCCCCCCCCCCTGCATGGGCTCGGACCCCAGACCTCCCTCAGCACCTGGACCGGGGGCCACGCCCGCAGCTGAAACCGTTGGTGGGCGCGTGTTCCGTGTCGGTGACTTTGGTGGCTTCCTCATTGCCCGGATGTCCTTCAGCCCCTTTTATTTTTATTGGTTTCAGAGAGGAAGGGAGAGGGAGAGAGGGAGAGACATTCATGATGCGGGAGAATCATGGACCGGCTGCCTCCTGCAGGGCCCCACCTGGGGATGGAGCCCGCAACCCGGGCCTGTGCTGTGACCAGGAATCAAACCATAACCTCCTGGTTCCAAGCGACCAGCTAGGGCCGTGGTCGGCAAACTCATGCGTCCTCAGAGCCAAATATTCACAGCATAGCGATTGAAATGTATTCGGAGAGCCACCTTTTATTTATTTATTTTTCTTTTTAAAAAAATATATTTTATTGATTTTTTACAGAGAGGAAGGGAGAGGGATAGAGAGCCAGAAATGTCGATGAGAGAGAAACATCGACCAGACGCCCCTGCACACCCCCTACCAGGGATGTGCCCACCACCAATGTGCATGCCCTTGACCGGAATCGAACCCGGGACCTTTCAGTCCGCAGACCGAAGTTCTACCACTGAGCCAAACCGGTTTTGGCGAGAGCCACGTTTTCTAACTTAAACGTCTCCTAACACCACTTCTTCACCACAGACTCGCCCGGGCCGTGGTCTTTGTGGAAGAGCCACACTCCAGGGGCCCAAGAGCCGCCGGTGGCTCGGGAGCCGGGGTTTGCCGACCGCGGGCTGGGGCACCCGTGTGTTTTAAGGAGCAGGGAACCACCAGCCAGGACACGTGTGTGTGTGTCTGAGGTCGGGCTGCGTGAGCACGGCCCCCGGCTCCGGGCCGGGGCGGCCCCTGACTCGCCGCTCCCTGTCCCCGCTTGCAGGTCCACAGACGTGGGGTTCACGCCCCCCTCGTCCCCTCCCACCCGGCCACGCAACGATCGCAACGTCTTCTCGCGTCTGACCAGCACCCAGAGCCAGGGCTCCGCGCTGGACAAGTGAGGGCCGCGCCGGCGGGCTGAGGGAGGGCGGGGCCCGCGGGGTGGGCGTGGCCGTGGCCGTGGCCGTGGCCGTGGGCGGGCTGGTGCAGCTGGGCGGTGCAGCTGGTGCAGTTCCGTTCCGGCCCCACTCCTGCTTCTCCGTCTTCTCCGTCGTGGCTGGGGACCCGTCTGTTCCCCGAGGGGGCTGGCACCTCGGAGCCAGCTGGCGGGGCGGACAGGGGTGCTCAGGCCCCAGGCAGCCCTGACTCCCCCGTGGCTGGTGCCCTGATTCTCCGAAGCCCCTTCCTCCGGCCTCACCACCCACCCCTCCCCAGTCGCTCAGACAGGCCCCCAGGCGTCCCTGTCACCTTCCCATGGCCGGGCCGGCTCCCCCACGGTGTGCCCCCTGCGCCCCCTGCTGGTGTGGTGGGGGCGGACAGCCGTCCCACGTGGCACCTGCTTTCACCCGGGTTCCCCTGAGCCCCAGCTCTGCCGTGAGGGGCCTGCCCGCCTCACGGAGCGGCACGGGGCCCAGGCAGGCCGGCGGGCGACCGCCCAGGAGGTGCACGGCCGGCCGAGGGCCTGGCTGCCGTGTCCTGAACGGGGGCGCTGCCCAGGGGCGGGCTGTCCTCCAGGCTGGCCTTCACAGTCCCTGCCGGCCCCCTGGCTCACACCAACCAGGGCTCCCTCCCTCAGGTGCCCCCAGCCCAGTGCCCCTCCCACCCGCCTTCAAGGTCTCTCGCCATCCCAGCGTGTGGGTCATCCAGACACCGGGCCATCCAGGGCCATCCAGGGTCATCCCGACCTTGGTCCATCCAGGGTCATCCAGGGTCATCCCGGCCCTGGTCCATCCAGGGTCATCCCGACCTTGGTCCATCCAGGGCCATCCAGGGGTCATCCAGGGTCATCCCAACCTCGGTCCATCCAGGGTCATCCAGGGGTCATCCCCGCCTTGGTCCTGTCCTGGGGTCCAGGTCCTGGGGCGCATGTGAGACACACAGCCAGCTCCAAGCAGTTTCCCACGCCCTCCCCCCACCCCCGGGGACAGGACCCCCCCCTCCCCCGGGGACAGGGGCCTCTGTGCAAAGCCGGCCCCTGAGGAGGAGGTGTGGGCGGCCCCTTGGGGTGGGAGGAGCCGTCGGGCCCCAGCATTGCCGGCGGGGTGGGGGTGGGCCCTGTGCGGACGGGGCAGCCACCAGCCCAGGAGCAGCCCCCCCAGAGTGTGGGGCCGGCGATCCCATGTCGTCCTGGGGGGCGGCCCCCATGCTCCCCGGCCAGCCCGCCCGCCCTCCCGCCCGCCCTGCTGTCCCGGCGCCTCCCCCGCTCGCTGCCTCTCCCGTCCCCCTCCAGGGGGACGCCCTGACCGCTGCTCCGCCCGTGCGCCCCCCTAACCCGCTAACTTTCTGCCCTCCCAGGTCCGATGACAGTGACTCCTCTATGTCCGAGGCCCTGAGGTACCGGCCGTGTCCTCCTCTCTCTCTCCCTCCCCTCGCTCTCGCTCTCACTCTCCTCTCGCTCTCTCTGACCCGTCCGCCTGCACCCGTCCTCAGCATGCACCCTCGTCTCCACCCCCAGGACCCTCCCCGCCCTGGTCCCTCCTCTCCTGGCGGCTGCCTGGCCTCTGCTGTCCCCGACCGGCTGGACTGGGGCACGGGGAGGGGCGTGTGGGCACTGTCACGGCCTGTCCTCTGCTCCCTCCTCACCGGGGGCGGGTGTGGGGGGAGCATGGAGCTGGGGGGCGGGCAGGGTGTGGATGGCGGTGCTCCCTCGTCACCGGGGGGGGGGGGGGGGGGGCGGGTGTGGGGGGAGCATGGAGCTGGGGGGCGGGCAGGGTGTGGATGGCGGTGCTCCCTCGTCACCGGGGGGTGGGGGGAGGGCGGGGTGTGGGGGGAGCATGGAGCTGGGGGACGGGCAGGGTGTGGATGGCGGTGCTCCCTCGTCACCGGGGGGTGGGGGGAGGGCGGGGTGTGGGGGGAGCATGGAGCTGGGGGACGGGCAGGGTGTGGATGGCGGTGCTCCCTCATCACCGGGGCGGGGGGGTGGTGGGGGGGAACATGGAGCCCGTCGGGTGGGCAGGGTGTGGATGCGGTGCTTGGGGTCCTGGCGCTCGGGCTGTGTCGGTGCCACACGCTTAGACCCCAGCTCTGCCCCCAGCCCCACCTCCTGGCACAGGGACCGGAGTGCTGGGGAGATGGGGGGCCCCTCTCCCCCAGGCAGCCCAGCAGAGCACCCCAGGGGCCTGAGCCCGGGGCCACAGCCGAGCTGAGAGCTCTCCCACCAAGCCCTGCGCTGGCCGCTCGCCGACCCTGGGTGCTGGCCGTCCGGCCGTCCCCCCCACAGGGTCCCCCAGCCCCTCCCGAGGACGGTTAGCCCTCTCAGCCGCTCCCCACAGCCGATCGGGCCTTCCCGGCCACAGCGGGCGCCGGCGAGGGCGGGGGCGGGAGCTGGGACACGCGGGAGCTGCTGGTGCGCACCCTGGACCCTGGTCTGACAGCGCCCTCGGGCCGTTTGCAGCCTGCAGGAGGGACGGGGGTCATTTCGTCCCGCCCTCGGCCACCGCGCCCGCCCCTGTGGGTCGGCAGGCGTTCTCTTTGGGAAAGAGGGAGGACGTGCTTTCAGACAGCACAGCCTGGCTGGGCCGCACACCCTGGGTCCCTCATCTGCGTATATAAGCGCCTCATCGGCAAAGTTTATGCATAAAAGCCTCAGCAGCAAAGTGCCCCCTCAGGAGTTCCACTGGCTGGGAGTTCGATCAGCTCTGACGTGCGCTGACCCCCAGGGGGCAGCACGGAAGACAGCCGGCAGCTGTGCACAGATGCCGGCACCAGGCCTCTAGCTGGGAAATAACATCTCCATCCCGAGCTGCGGGGGCTGGGGGAGGGGCCCGCGCGGAGCTCCGGTCCCTAAAGGGGTTGAGTCCCTTGTCAGCGGCCCTCACGGGTCTGGCCGCACGGGTGCGGGGCTGTGGGGGGGGGGGCCTCTGCGTGGGGGCCAGGCCCGGCGGATGGGACGCTGGGACGGGGTGCGGGGGGCGGCCCGGCCCCTCCCTCTGCGCCCGGCCCTCCGGTTCCCCGAGGCGGTCTGGGGGCGTCATGGGGTCGCAGGCCTCCGCCTGCCCAGCTGGCCTTTTGTTTTGTTTTTAAATCTATTTTTTTTTAATTTTTAAATATATTTCTTTATTGATTTCAGAGAAGAAGGGAGAGAGAGAGAGAGAGAGAGAGAGAGAGAGGGAAATACCTATGAGAGAGAATCATGGATCGGCCGCCTCCTGCACGCCCCCCACCGGGAATCGAACCCGCCCCCCGGGCCTGTGCCCCTGGCCAGAATCGAACCCGGGACCCCCAACCTGCGGGCTGACGCTCTGTGCACTGGGCCAACCTAGCCAGAGCTTTCAATCTATTTTTATTGATGTCAGAGAGGAAGGAGAGGGATAGGGAGATAGAAACATCTGTGACGAGAGAGGATCCTGGACCGGCTGCCTCCCGCACGCCCCCCACCGGGCCTGGGCCCCGCCCGGCATCGAACCCCGACCTCCTGGCTCCGAGGTCGACCCTCAGCCCTGAGCCCGCCGGCCGGGAGGGAGGGGGTGACCTGGGCACTTTACGTCTCGGGATGCGGTCAGGCTGGCGAGGGCGGGAACTGGCCGAGGGCAGGGCTGCGCCTGGACAGGATGACTCCGGCGGCCGCGGGAGGCTGGGCTCCCCCTGACGGCTCCCCCGCTCACCGGCTTCCCGGCTCCGGCTGCTGGCGGCTCTGGAGGCCCCTGTCAGGCCCCGGGGTCCCCGGCTGACGGGCCTCTCCCTCTGTCTGTCCGGAAGGGGCGCCATCACGCCGGTGGGCGGAGCCAAGGGCGGGCGGACCGCCCCGCTGCAGTGCGTCTCCGTGGCCGAGGGCCACACCAAGCCCGTGCTCTGCCTGGACGCCACGGACGAGCTGCTCTTCACCGGCTCCAAAGGTGGGTGCCGCGCCCGGCCGTGCGGCTCAGTGGGCAGAGCGCCGGCCTGTGGAGCATAGGGTCCCGGGTTCGATTCCCGGTCGGGGCACAGGCCCGGGTTGTGGGCCCGATCCCCAGTGGGGGGCGTGCGGGAGGCACCCGGTCCATGATTCTCTCTCCTCATGGATGCTTCTCTCTCTCCTCTCCCTTCCTCTCGAAAATGAATAAAAACACGTAAAATAAAGATAATGATGATGATGATGGTGAGGCCAGCTCTCAGCAGTCAGGGCAGCGGGCACAGACGTGTCGGGGGGCGGGGGGGGTTGGGCAGGCGGACGGGGTCTGACCTCCGGGCCCCGTCTCCCCACCCCTGGGAGCTGGGGCGGGGATCGGCCTGGGACCCGCCGCCCGGTGCTGACGCCGCCCCTGCCCGCCCGCCCCCGCCCCCAGACCGCAGCTGCAAGATGTGGAACCTGGTCACCGGGCAGGAGATCGCCGCCCTCAAGGGCCACCCCAACAACGTGGTCTCCGTCAAGCACTGCGGCCACTCGGGGCTGGTCTTCTCCGCGTCCGCCGCCTTCGTGCGCGTCTGGGACATCCGGGACTCGGCCCGGTGCATCCGCACCCTCACGTATGCCCTCCGGGGGCGGGCAGGGCGCCGGCCCGGCCGCCCATCAGGGAGGGCTCCCTGGAGGAGGCGGCCTTCCCGGCCGGGGTGGACGGGCTGGACCGCTTTCACCTCTGACCTCGCCCTCCCTGCAGGTCCTCGGGTCAGGTGATCGCGGGGGACGCCTGCGCGGCCACCTCCACGCGCGCCCTCACCAGCGCGCAGGGCGAGCACCAGATCAACCAGATCGCCCTCAGCCCCTCGGGCGGCCTGCTGTACGCCGCCTCGGGCAACGCCGTGCGCGTCTGGGAGCTCAGCAGGTGGGGGGGGAGGGGGAGGGAGGGGTCCGGGGGGTCTGGGAGCTCAGCAGGTCCTGGGGGAGGGGTGCTGGGGTCCGGGAGGAGGGGGGCTGGGAGCTCAGCAGGTCCCGGGGGGAGGGGGCTGGGAGCTCAGCAGGTCCTGGGGGAGGGGTGCTGGGGTCCGGGAGGAGGGGGGCTGGGGTTCAGGGGGAGGGGGAGGGGGCTGGGAGCTCAGCAGGTCCCGGGGGAGGGGGGAGGGCACGGCCGAGGGCGGGCGCACAGCCTCAGCTCGGGGTGCCCCGGCCCCAGCGCCAGGGCGGCCGCCCTCGCCTGCTGCTCCCCGTGTCCCGGAGGCCCCCCCCCCGCCCCCCGAATGGCAGCCCCGGGGGGAGGGGCAGCCCCCAGCCCCCGCCCCCGGGGTCCCCTGACCCTCCGGCCGCCGCCCGCAGGTTCCAGCCCGTCGGCAAGCTGACCGGCCACATCGGGCCCGTGATGTGCCTCACGGTCGCCCAGACGGCCAGCCAGCACGACCTGGTGGTCACCGGCTCCAAGGACCACTACGTGAAGGTGCGCAGGGGCACTGGCGTCCCCCCTCCCCCCTTCTCTCCCCCCCACCCCCTCCCGCCCCGATCCTGCACCCCGGGGCTGGGCGGCCATGGGAGGGGGGCACCCCGATCCTGCACCCCGGGGCTGGGCTGCCATGGGAGGGGGGCACCCCGATCCTACACCCCGGGGCTGGGCGGCCATGGGAGGAGGGCACCCCGATCCTGCACCCCGGGGCTGGACTGCCATGGGAGGGGGGCACCCCGATCCTGCACCCCGGGGCTGGGCGGCCATGGGAGGGAGGGCACCCCGATCCTGCACCCCGGGGCTGGGCGGCCATGGGAGGGAGGGCACCCCGATCCTGCACCCCGGGGCTGGGCGGCCATGGGAGGAGGGCACCCCGATCCTGCACCCCGGGGCTGGGCGGCCATGGGAGGGGGGCACCCCGATCCTGCACCCCGGGGCTGGGCGGCCATGGGAGGGGGCACCCCGATCCTGCACCCCGGGGCTGGGCGGCCATGGGAGGGTGGCACCCCGATCCTGCACCCCGGGGCTGAGCGGCCATGGGAGGAGGGCACCCCGATCCTGTACCCCGGGGCTGGGCGGCCATGGCGGGGGGGGGCACCCCGATCCTGCACCCCGGGGCTGGGCGGCCATGGGAGGAGGGCAACCCCGATCCTGCACCCCGGGGCTGGGCGGCCATGGGAGGGGGGCACCCCGATCCTGCACCCCGGGGCTGGGCGGCCATGGGAGGGAGGGCACCCCGATCCTGCACCCCGGGGCTGGGCGGCCATGGCGGGGGGGGGCACCCCGATCCTGCACCCCGGGGCTGGGCGGCCATGGGAGGGAGGGCACCCCGATCCTGTACCCCGGGGCTGGGCGGCCATGGCGGGGGGGGGCACCCCGATCCTGCACCCCGGGGCTGGGCGGCCATGGCGGGGGGCACCCCGATCCTGCACCCCGGGGCTGGGCGGCCATGGCGGGGGGCGGGGGGCAGACCTCGGGGTCGCGGCTCCTGCCCCCCCGGGCTGCACCCAGCGGTGGCTCCGGGCCCTTGCCCCCCCCCCCCCGCCCCCAGATGTTCGAGCTGGGGGACAGCCCGGCGGGCACCGTGGGGCCCACCCACAACTTCGAGCCCCCGCACTACGACGGCATCGAGAGCCTGGCCATCCTGGGCGGCGTGCTCTTCAGCGGCTCCCGCGACACCGGCGTCAAGAAGTGGGACCTGGAGCAGCAGGAGCTCATCCAGGTGCGGGGCGGGCGGGGCAGGCGGGGCCCGGGGCCCAGCCAGAGCCACACCCCCCGCCCCCTCCCTGCCCGCCCTCCTCCCCCCGCCCCCGGCCGGAGGTCATTGTTTAAAATGCATATTTTATTGGTTTTTTACCGAGAGGAAGGGAGAGGGAGAGGGAGTCAGAAATATGGATGAGAGAGAAACACCGATCAGCTGCCTCCTGCACGCCCCCCACGGGGACCTTTCAGTCCGCAGGCCGACGCTCTAGCCTGAGCCAAACCGGTCCGGCTCCCTGTCATTGTTTAAACTGATGTCAGAGAGGAAGGGAGAGGGAGAGGGAGAGACACATCGGTGATGAGAGGCAAACACGGCGCGGCTGCCTCCTGCACGCCCCCTACAGGGGGTGGAGGATGGAGCCCGCCCCCGGGCCTGTGCCCCGGCCGGGAATCGAACCCTGACCTCCTGGTTCCCAGGTCGGCGCGCGGCCCCTGAGCCAGGCCGGCCGGGGGCGAGGGCGGGAGGCAGGCTGCTCCTCCAGGGCGGGGTCCCGGGTTCGAGCCCGGGATGGCCCGGCAGGCCCGGCCCGGCTCCGGAGACCGGGAGGCGCAGGGTCCCGGGTTCGAGCCTGGGACGGCCTGGCAGGCCCGGCCCGGCTCCGGAGACCGGGAGGCGGAGGGTCCCGGGTTCGAGGCCCGGCTCCGGAGACCGGGAGGCAGAGGGTCCCGGGTTCGAGGCTGGGACGGCCCGGCAGGCCCGGCCCGGCTCCGGAGACCGGGAGGCGGAGGGTCCCGGGTTCGAGGCCCGGCTCCGAAGACCGGGAGGCGGAGGGGCTGCGGGTGCGGGCGTTCCCGGTCCCGGCCCGCCGGCCTCACCCCCGCCCTCCCGCAGCAAATCCCCAACGCGCACAAGGACTGGGTGAGCGCGCTGGCCTTCGTGCCCGGCCGGCCCATGCTGCTGAGCGCCTGCCGCGCCGGCCTCCTCAAGGTCTGGAACGTGGACAGCTTCACGCCCGTGGGCGAGATCAAGGGCCACGACAGCCCCGTCAACGCCGTGTGCACCAACAGCAAGCACGTGTTCACCGCCTCCAGGTGGGCGGGGCGGGGCGTGTCCACCGCCTCCAGGGGGGCGGGGCGGGGGCGGGGCACGTGTTCACCGCCTCCAGGTGGGCGGGGCGGGGGCGGGGCACGTGTTCACCGCCTCCAGGGGGGCGGGGGCGGGGCACGTGTTCACCGCCTCCAGGTGGGCGGGGCGGGGCGTGTCCACCGCCTCCAGGTGGGCGGGGCGGGGCGTGTTCACCGCCTCCAGGGGGCGGGGCGGGGGCGGGGCACGTGTTCACCGCCTCCAGGTGGGCGGGGCGGGGGCGGGGCACGTCTTCACACCGCCTCCAGGTGGGCGGGGCGGGGGCGGGGTGTGTTCACCGCCTCCAGGTGGGCGTGTCCACTGCCTCCAGGTGGGCGGGGCGGGGGCGGGGGTGGGGCGTGTCCACCGCCTCCAGGTGGGCGTGCTCACTGCCTCCAGGTGGGCGGGGCAGGGGGGCGGGGCACGTGTTCACCGCCTCCAGGTGGGCGTGTCCACCACCTCCGGGGGGCGGGGCAGGGCGTGGTCACCGCCTCCGGGGGACGGGGCGGGGGCGGGGGCATGTCCACCGCCTCCAGGTGGGCGGGGCGGGGGCGTGTCCGCCGCATCCAGGGGACGGGGCGGGGGCGGGGCGTGTCCACCGCCTCCAGGTGGGCGTGTCCACCGCCTCCAGGTGGGCGTGTCCACTGCCTCCAGGTGGCCGGGGGCTCCGGCGAGGTCCACAGGCTGGAGGGGGGGTGGGGGGGCCGGCCCGGTGAGGGCCAGGGGCTGGAGGGAGGGGTTGCCGGGCGGACCCCCAGGGCCCAGGGGCAGGGCAGCAGGCAGGCACCAGCCCGGCCAGGCCATGCCCACCTGCCCCCGCCCCCCGGCCGGCCTCACTCCTGTCCAGTATCTCCCACCGCCCCCTGACCCCGCCCCGTCCCGGCCAGGCCACCGGGCGCTGCTCACAGAGGCCTCTTCTCTTCCCTCTCGTTCCGAACTTGACCTTGACCCCTCCTTCTCTCCCCCTCCCCTCCCTCCGCCTCTCCCTCTCCCTCCCTCCCTCTCTCTCCCCCTCTCCCCCTCTCTCCCCGACAGTGACTGCCGGGTGAAGCTGTGGAGTTACGTTCCGGGACTCACCCCCTGCCTTCCACGCCGGGTCCTGGCCATAAAGGGCCGAGCCACGACCCTGCCCTGACCCCCTCCTCCCTCTTCCCTACTCTTCCCCTCTCCCTGCTCTGTCTCCCCCTCTCTCCACTGCTGTCTGAGCTGCTCTCCTCCACGGTACGAGACTGTTTTATCCTCCCCCTCCTCCTCCTCCTCCTCCTTCCCCCCTCCTCTCCCCCCCTCCTCCTCCTCCCCCTTCTCCTCCTCCTCCGGCCCCCCTCCTCCTCCCGTCCCCTCCCACCTCCTCCTCCTCCTCCTCCGGCCCCCCTCCTCCTCCCGTCCCCTCCCTCCCCCTCCTCCTCCTCCGGCCCCCCCTCCTCCTCCTCCGGCCCCCCCCTCCTCCCCCTCCTCCCCCTCCTCCTCCTCCTCCCCCTCCTCCCCCTCCTCCTCCTCCTCCTCCGGCCCCCCCCCTCCTCCCCCTCCTCCCCCCCCTCCTCCTCCCCCCCCCCCTCCCCCCCCTCCCCCCCCCCCCCCTCCCCCTCCTCCCCCTCCTCCTCCTCAGGCCCCCCTCCCAAGCATGAGCAGTGAGCAGGACAGAGCCGGGCTGGGGCCAGGCCGTGGGGGCCCGTCGGGGGCACCTCTGCCCAGCTCCACCCCCCCCCCGGCCTCACGGAGCCCGCCCTGTGCCCGGGGCCCGGCCTCGGTGGGGAGTGGGGAGCCGGCCCTGAGCCCAGGGAGCTGGCCCTGTGCCCGGGGCCCGGCCTCGGTGGGGAGGGGGGAGCCGGCCCTGAGCCTGGGGAGCTGGCCCTGTGCCCGGGGCCCGGCCTCGGTGGGGAGGGGGGAGCCGGCCCTGAGCCTGGGGAGCCGGCCCTGTGCCCGGGGCCCGGCCTCGGTGGGGAGGGGGGAGCCCGCCCTGAGCCCCGGGCCCGGCCTCGGTGGGGAGGGGGGGCACCGGGCATGGCCGGCCGGCCCGTCCCGGCTGACCGCGCGCTGTGCCCGCAGTGACCGGACGGTGAAGTTCTGGAGCGTCCGGCGGCTCCCCCGGGGCCCACCCTAGGCCGGGCCGGAGGACACCCAAGCCTCGCCCCGCCCCCACAGCCCGGAGGCGTGGAGGGGACACGTGGCCGTGGGGCGGGCGGCTGGGCGTGGACCGTGGCGGTGGCTCCTCCTGCTCTCCTCCCCTCGGCCTCCAGTGATGGATGGACATGACCCCTGACCCCTGACCCCTGACCCTAGCCTCCCTCCCGCCGCCTCTGGAGAGAGAAAAAAGGGGGGACATTTAAGCTGTGACACCCCTCTGGTGTCTCTCCTGGGCCGGCAGCCCCCCACCCCACCCCACTCCACCCCCAATCCCACCCCACTCCACCCCTCTCCCCACTCCCACCCCCACCCCACCCACCCCACCCCACCCCACCCCACCCACCCCACCCACCCCACCCACCCCAGCCTCTGGACACTGCACCTGCCTCTGAGCCCAAACCACAGACCTCAGGTAACCATGGAAACCAGGGGCAGGCAGCTGGCACTGCCGCTCAGCTCAGCCCCGCGATTCTCGGGGTCTCCCCCACTCCGGCAGACGGCAGCCGCCCCTTATTTATTTTTACCGGCTCTTCGCCTCCTGGGAACGGACTTGAAGTTTTTTCCTTGCGGCCATCCCTCCCTTTGGGGGGCCGGGAACCCCGCCGGGGCCACCCCTTCTCGGCTGCAGCTCAGGCTGACCCCGCGTTACCCGGGGACCTCCCGGGACCCACCTCCCCCGCCTGGTGCTCCAGTGCCTTCCTCTCCGGCCGGCCGGCTCCCGGGCTGGGCACCCTGACACCCGCCTCCTGTCTTCCCACCCGGGGCTCATGCCCACCGCCCCCCGAAGGCGGGGCGCCCGCCCCCAGCCCAGGGCCCCCCGGGGCAGTGTGGGGAGCAGCTCGGATGCCGCCCACACCCTCCCCGTCCCCCGTGGTCCCGTCCTCGCCCCGACCAGGAATAGACCGTGACCCCCTGGCTCCCAGTCGACGCTCAGCCACGGAGCCACGCCGGCCGGCCAGGGAGGCGGTCTTAGTGTGAACGGAAGGCCGGGCCTGCTGAGCGGCCGGCTGGACGGGCGAGTGGACTCCCCTTCCGGCCGCGGGCCCCTCTGCCTTCCCAGCTGGAGACCCCTCTCCGGCCCCCTGGGGCGTCCCGCCCCCCGGCCCCCACTGGACAGGCCCCCCCCAAGGACAATGTGCATGCAGGCGCTCCCCACGACGACAGAGACTCAGAGGCTGCTGTCCACGGCAGTGACCTGGGGGTGACCGGAGCCTCTCGGTGCTTGTCTGCTGTTCCCGGCGGGTCCGCTACCTCACGGCCCTGGCGCTGCCGTCCTGGCCACACTTGAAGTCCCTCCGACGCCCCAGCCCGGCCTCTCGGCCCACCGCGCCCGGGGGCGGCCGGGGCACAGCTGGGGGCGGTCCCTGGCCTCCTGCACACGCCCCCCTCGTCGGAAGCACAATTGGTGGTGGTTTGAGCACAATGATGGGCGGCTGGGCGCTGGGCGGGGGCTCTGGGCCGGCTTGGACCACGGCGGCAGTGTGGGGAGCAGCTAGGATGCCGCCCACACCCCTCGTCAGACCAGGCCCCGCCCAGGGCTCCGGCTAACTTGGGGCCCCGTCTTCTTCCTCTTCTGCACCCCCTCCTCCCCCCACCCCGTCCCGCCTCGGGCCAGGCCACGTGGGAGCGCCCTGGGCCCGGAGGTGGGCACCCTGTCTGCACCCCAAACCCCAAACCCTCCCCCGCCTGAGCCCGCGGGGCCCTGTGAGTCCGGGCCCCATCGCCTGACCCCTGTGAATGCTTTTTAAATGTTCCTTTCAGAGAGGAAGGGGGACTGAGAGAGAGAGAGAGAGAGAGAGGTCCATGAGGAGAGGATCACGGACCGGCTGCCTCCTGCACCCCCCCCCCCCCCCCACTGGGGACGGAGCCCCGACCGGGAATCGAACCCTGGCCTCCTGGCTCACAGGTCGATGCTCAGCCCCGAGCCACGCCGGCCGGCCTCTACGAGTGCTTTTGAAGCCACTTGGGGAGCAGAGGGGGTGGGGCGCACGGAGACGGTGTCCCCCGCTGCCCAGGCGGCTCGGCGCCGTTGGGCCCACCGTCCGCAGTATTCACCGTGTTAACACTCAGTGTTGGCCTCGGTGCAGTGACCCCCACCCGCCCCCGGCAGCCCTCGCTGGCGTCGGCTCTGGAGGCCGCCTAGGCAGGGGGAAGGGGCAGAGGCTGGGACCCCCCGAGCCCCCTCACGGCAGCTGCACCCAGGACGCCGGCCGCCCCCGGGGCGGGGCTGGGCTCGGACTGCACCGAACAGCTGCAGCAGCCGCACCGGCCGGCTCTCAGCACGCTTTCTCACGCCGGCCTGGGGGGCGCAGGTGGCAGCTGCTGGGATGGGGGGGAGGGAGGGCAGGGGGTGCCCAGCTCCATCAGAGGCCGGCCGGCTCCCTCCTGGGCGGCCTGGGCGGTGCGGACACCACCTGCCCCTCCAGCTGCCCCCGCCCTGCCTGTGCCTCCGAGTCTGTGCCCGAGTGCTGAGCCCCTTCCTGGGGGGGTGGCCCAAACCGGCGCCTCCGCCCCCCTCGCCGTCCCAACTGGACGCTGCCTGTCACTCTGAGCTCGGCCGCTGCACCCCCCACCCCACCCGAGCCTTGCCCCTCTCCGGCCCCGATCCTGGGCTGCCTGCCTCCCGGACAAGGAAAGTTCTCTCTTCTGTGGCTTCTTCGTTCTGTTCCCTGCCCTGGCCCCTCCCTGCACTCAGATGAGCCCAACCACACCCCAGGCCAGCCCTGGGGGCGCCCCGAGGCCCGCGCCCAGGAGTGGAGCCTGCCCCTCGAAGAAGAGGCAGAGGGTCAGAGGAGACCTCTGCAGCGACCGGGGCCGCCCCGCCCGCCAGCTCTGCCCCAGCCTCCCCCCAGGCCGTGGGCCCGGGCCCCCTCCCGCGAGGCCAGCACAAGGCGTGCAGGTCCGTGCCTCCGCCCGGACTGTACGGGAGTTATTTGAGCCGCGGGCAGCTCTGTTCCCGGCAGACCTGTGCGCCCTCGGACGTTGTCGGAATAAAATCTGAATGACCGTGGCCGTGGGTTTGGTTCCTGGGCCCCTTCTCCGTGGGGGATGGGCCTCCGGGGTGTGTATGACCTCGCCGTGCCCTGTGCCCTCGAACAAACCCCGCGCCGGCCTCAACCAGCGGCGACCGGCCGGCGCAGGACAGCGGTCGGCAAACTCCTTCGTCCGCAGCCAAATACCATCAGCGCAGCGACGGACGCGTCTCCGGAGAGCCACACTTTTTAAACCTAAACGTCTCCGAACGCCACGTCTTCCACACAGACCCGCCCAGGCCATGGGGTTTGGTGGAAGAGCCGCCCTCCAGGGGCCCGAGAGCCGCAGGTGGCTGGTGAGCCGCAGTTTGCCGACCGCGGGCCCAGAACCCCCGGCTCAGCTGGGGCGCCTCCGCTCCCAGGCCGGGAGGCGGGCGGACGGATCCCAGAACCCCCGGCTCTGGCCTCAGAGCGAGAGATCGGGCGGAGGGGCGTGGGGGGCTGGGCCAGGGGATCGCTGCTGAGGGGTGGCCGCCGTCCCCCTTTACCCCCCCCCCCCCCCCGCTGGGCACGGACTCCCTGGACAGACCAGGAGGCCTGCCCCCCAGCAGTCCCTAATTTCGTGTTAATCCTCAGCTGAGGATACTTTCCGCTGATTTTGAGAGAGAGGGAGAGAGAGAGAGAAACATCGATGTGAGAGACACAGGGATTGGCTGCCTCCCACGGGCATCGAGCCTGCCGCCGAGGTACGCGCGCCCTTGGCCGCAATCGAACCCGGGACCCTCCAGTCCTCGGGCTCTATCCACTGAGCCACACCGGCCGGGGCAGCAGAAGTTCCTCCTTTTATTGTGAAGGTTGCGCAGGCCCAGGCCTCCGCCTCCAGCCCCGGGCTCAGGAGCCACCCACCGGCTCTGGGCTGCCCCCCGAGGGTGCGGTGTCCGCCCGCCCGTCCGTCCAGAGCGGCTCCCTCAGCGTCTCCAGCAGCAGAGCCAGCAGGTCCGGGTCCGAGCCGGCTGGCTCCTGCTGGCTTCCAGGACGTGCAGGGTCTGCGTGGCCAGGCAGCTGACCGCGGGGTCCGGGTCCTCGCTCATGGACCTCAGGGCTGGAACGGAAACGGCGGGTGCGCCCGGCCCGTGGCTGAGGGGTCCGACCAGGAGGGGGCGGTTCCTGCAGGGGCGCAGGCTCCATCCCGCGGGGGGCGTGAGGGGGCAGCCGGCCCACGATTCTCTCATCGTTCATCTCTCTTTTTCTCTCTCTCTCCCTTCTCTCTGAAATCAATAAAAATACTTTTTTTTTTTAATCCTCACCGGTGTGGCTCAGTGGATAGAGCGTCGGCCTGCGGACTGAAGGGTCCCGGGTTCGATTCCGGTCAAGGGCACGGACCTTGGTTGCGGGCACATCCCCAGTGGGGGGCGTGCAGGAGGCAGCAGATGGATGTTTCTCTCTCGTCCATGTTTCTGACTCTCTATCCCTCCCCCTTCCTCTCCGTGAAAAATCAATAAAAAATATTTTTTTTAAAAAGAAAGACCGGGCTCTGGGCCCAGAGACGCTGCCAGGCTGGCGAGCAATGGCGGGGTGGGGGGTGGGGGACAGGCCCTGGAGGCGAAGGGGCTCCCCAGGAGGCTGTGCACAGAAGCGGGAATGGGGGGGGGGGGGTGCTGGTGGCTGAAAGCCGAGCCTCAGCTCCTCTGGGGCCTCGGGCTCGGGGGGACCTCGGGGCCTCGGCCACTCACCCTCGGAGGCCGTCCCAGCGTCACTGGCCTTGGCCACGGCGGGGCTCTGGATGATCTGGCCTGCGGGGGGCACAGCGCCTCAGGCCCCGGAGCGGGGAGGGCCTGGTGCACCTGCTCAGAGCCCCTCCCCAGGCCCTCCCTCCTCCCCTGGTCCCCCCTCCCTCCTCAGCCCTCCCTCCTCCCCTGGCCCCTCCCTCCCTCCTCAGCCCTCCCTCCTCCCCTGGGCCCTCCCTCCCTCCTCTGCCCTCCCTCCCTCCCTCCCCAGGCCCTCCCTCCTCCCCTGGTTCCTCCCTCCTCCCCTGGTCCCCCCCTCCCTCCCCAGGCCCTCCCTCCCACCCAGGCCCTCCCTCCTCCCCTGGTCCCTCCCTCCCTCCCCAGGCCCTCCCTCCTCCCCTGGTCTGTCGCTCCCTCCGAAGCCCTCCCTCCCTCCCTGGCCCCTCCCTCCTCCCCTGGGCCCACCCTCCCTCCCCTGGGCCCTCCCTCCCCCCCTGGTCTGTCACTCCCTCCCCAGGCCCTCCCTCCCTCCTCCGCCCTCCCTCCCTCCCCAGGCCCTCCCTCCCTCCCCCCCTGGCCCCTCCCTCCCTCCCCAGGCCCTCCCTCCTCCCCTGGTCTGTCGCTCCCTCCCCAGGCCCTCCCTCCTTCCTCAGCCCTCCCTCCCTCCCCAGGCCCTCCCTCCCCTGGTCCCTCCCTCCTCCCCTGGCCCCTCCCTCCTCCCCTGGGCCCACCCTCCCTCCCCTGGGCCCTCCCTCCTCCCCTGGTCTGTCACTCCCTCCCCAGGCCCTCCCTCCCTCCTCAGCCCTCCCTCCCTCCCCAGGCCCTCCCTCCCTCCTCCCCTGGCCCCTCCCTCCCTCCCCAGGCCCTCCCTCCTCCCCTGGTCTGTCGCTCCCTCCCCAGGCCCTCCCTCCTTCCTCAGCCCTCCCTCCCTCCCCAGGCCCTCCCTCCCCTGGTCCCTCCCTCCTCCCCTGGCCCCTCCCTCCCTCCCCAGGCCCTCCCTCCTCCCCTGGTCTGTCACTCCCTCCCCAAACTGGACGTGGATGCCAGCCTCCCCTTTGGACGTTACCCAGGAAGTTGAACCGTCCCTGCTTCTCGGAAGGTGGAGGGGTGTGGGGGGGGGGGGGGACGGAGAGGGGACCTTGTGCTCCCACTGGGCTCTGAGCTTCCCACGGAGGGAGCACCCGGCCCTGACCCCACCGCCTGGGAGCTCTGCGGCCCGGCCTCCGGGGACCGGCCTCCGGGGACGAGGCCCGCGCTGCCCCAGAAAGGAGCTCCCCGAGGCAGAAGGGGCAGCCGGGCCAGGCCCCCCGCCCCCAGGCCTGCGTCCTGGGCTGAGCCTTGGGGGGGGGACCCCGGGACGAGGACGCGGGGGGCGGGGGGCGCCCACCTGTGAACCACACGGCGGCCTGGCGGACGGGGGCCTGGGGGGGGACCCCGGGACGAGGACACGGGGGGCGGACGGGGGCCTGGGGGGGACCCCGGAACAAGGACGCAGGGGGCCTGGGGGGGCGCCCACCTGTGAACCACACGGCGGCCTGGCGGATGGGGGCCTGGGGGGGGGACCCCGGGACGAGGACATGGGGGGCGGGGAGCAGGCGCCCACCTGTGAACCACACGGCAGCCTGGCGGACGGGGGCCTGGGGGGGGACCCCGGAACAAGGACGCGGGGGGCCTGGGGGGGCGCCCACCTGTGAACCACACCGCGGCCTGGCGGATGGGGGCCTGGGGGCTCTGCAGCAGGGTCAGGCTCTGGGTCAGCAGCCATTGGCCTCGTCCTGCCTCGCGCTCCAGCTGGGGGACAGGCCGCCGGTCAGAGGGGACCCCACAGGCAGGGGCACCCCCGACCAGGGTCCCCGCTCACCAGGGCTCTGAGGATCGTCCACAGGTCCCCGTTGGCGAAGACGGGGCGCAGCCGCCACCAGCCCAGGAGGGAGGCCAGGCTGTGGAGGGCCAGCCGGCAGACCTGGCGGAGGAGGCCGGGCGGGAGCGGGCTGGGAGCGAGCTGGGAGGGGCGGGGGCGGGGAGGGGGCTGGGAGGGGGGCAGGGGGGCAGACGCCGGGCGGGGGCACCTGGGTTTGGGAGGAGGGCAGGGTTTCCAGGCAACTTTCCCACTGGCAGGAGGTTTACTTTAGTTTTTTATTTATTTTTTTAAGATACATGTTATTCATTTCCCACAGAGAGGGGAAGGGAGAGGGAGAGAGAGTTAGAAACATCCACGATGAGAGAGAAACACCGACCAGCTGCCTCCTGCACCCGCCCCACTGGGGATGTGCCCGCAACCAAGGGATATGCCCTTGGCCGGAATCGAACCTGGGACCCTCCAGTCGGCAGGTCGACATTCCATCTACTGAGCCAAACTGGTCAGGGCGATTTACTTTTTAAAATATATATATATATATATATATATATATATATATATATATATATATATATATATTTTATTTTACAGAAAGGAAGGGAGAGGGAGAGAGAGTTAGAAACATCCACGATGAGAGAAACATCGATCAGCTGTCTCCTGCACGCCCCCTGCTGGGGATTGAGTCTGCGACCCAGGCACATACGTGCCCTTGACTGGAATGGAGCCCGGACCCTTCCATCCGCTGGGGGGGGGGGGGGGAAGGTGCAGGGCCGAAGCCCCCCCCCCCAGCGCCGCCCCCCAGCCCAGCGGCAGGGCCCCGGGACCGGCCGGGCCTCACCTGGGCCACCCGGGCGTCCCTGTCCGCCAGGTGCACCACCAGGAGGACCAGCGTGCTGAGCAGCTGCTGCCGCAGCCGGGGCGCCAGGAGCGGCCTCTTGACCTTGGCCAGCAGCGCCCCGTAGATCTCGAAGGCCATCAGGCGCCGGGGCTCCGCCTCCTGAGCGGGGAGACACTCTCCGCCCCCGTCCACCCAGGCCCTCACCCCCCTGACCGGCCGCCCGGCCCCGGGCCCTCCCGCCCCCGCCGACAGCGTCCCCTCTCCCCGTGCACAATCCTTATCGGCCGGCGTGGCTCCGGGGCGGAGCATCGACTAATGAAGCAGGAGGTCAGGGTTCGATTCCTGCTCAGGGCACAGGCCCGGGTGGCGGGCTCCATCCCCAGGGTGGGGTGTGCAGGAGGCAGCCGGTCCAGGGTTCTCTCTCATCGTGGATGTTTCTCTCTCTTTCTCTCTCCTCTCTCTCTCTCTCCCCTTCTCTCTCTCTCCTTCTCCCCTCCCTCTGAAATCAATAAAAATCTATTGTAGGCCCTAACCGGTGTGGCCTGTGGACTCAAGGGGCCCGGGTTCGATTCCGGTCAAGGGCATGCACCTTGGTTGGCGGGCACATCGCCAGGTGGGGGCGTGCAGGAGGCAGCCGGTGGATGTTTCTCTCTCGTCGATGTTTCTAGCTCTCTCTCCCTCTCCCTTCCTCTCTCTCTCTCTCAAAAAAAAAAAAAAAAATCAATAAAATATATATTTTTAAAAAAATCTATTTTAGAGAAAAGAAGAGAGGACATAAGCCATCAGCCCCCAGAGAATGGCAGCCAAGGCAGCAGGGCCTTCCAGATCATTCCTCTCAACCCCCTCTCCCCCCCCCCCCGCACACACACACACATGCCCTCCCCTCAAACCCCCTTCTGCCACACACACACACACACACCCCTGCCCTCCCCCAACTTCTCCCCCCTTCTGCCACACACACACACACACACACACATGCCCTCCCCCCAACCCCCACTTCTCCCCCCCCCACACACACACCCCTGCCCTCCCCCAACTTCTCCCCCCTTCACACACACACACACACACACACACCCCTGCCCTCCCCCAACTTCTCCCCCCTATCTCACACACACACACACACACACACACACACACACGCACGCACACACCCTGCCCTCCCCAGCCGCCCGGAGCTGGGACGAGCCGTGGGGGCGGGCGGGGGGAGGGCAGGGGCCGTACCGCCTCGAAGAGGGGCCGCAGCGAGACGACCAGCTGCACCAGGAAGGAGGGGGCCCTCCGGCGGGCGCAGTGCTCCACCAGGGCCCGCAGCACCCGGAAGGCCTCGCGGAGCACCCCGGGGTCCTCCGCGTGCAGGCAGCGGAGCACCTGGGGCTGCAGGAGGCTCAGCCGCGGGGCCTGCGGAGGGAGGGCCCGGGGTGCTGGCGCCTGCGGAGCCCGGCTCTCGTCCCGGCGCCGGGGCGGCCACGGGGGGTGCCGCCCGCCCTCACCAGGCCCCCATGCAGCGTGCAGGTCTCGGCCGCCCGCCCTCGCCAGGCCCCCGTGCAGCGTGCAGGTCTCGGCCGCCCGCCCTCGCCAGGTCCCCGTGCAGCGTGCAGGTCTCGGCCGCCCGCCCTCACCAGGCCCCCATGCAGCGTGCAGGTCTCGGCCGCCCGCCCTCGCCAGGCCCCCGTGCAGCGTGCAGGTCTCGGCCGCCCGCCCTCGCCAGGTCCCCGTGCAGCGTGCAGGTCTCGGCCGCCCGCCCTCACCAGGCCCCCGTGCAGCGTGCAGGTCTCGGCCGCCCGCCCTCGCCAGGTCCCCGTGCAGCGTGCAGGTCTCGGCCGCCCGCCCTCGCCAGGCCCCCGTGCAGCGTGCAGGTCTCGGCCGCCCGCCCTCGCCAGGTCCCCGTGCAGCGTGCAGGTCTCGGCCGCCCGCCCTCACCAGGTCCCCGTGCAGCGTGAAGGTCTCGGCCGCCCGCAGCAGCAGCATCACGGTGGCCGGCTCCCCGCGCGGGAACCAGCTGGCCAGCACGCGGGTGGCGGCCTCGTCCACGGCAGCCGCCACGTCCCGGCTCCGGAGCAGCTGGCAAAGGAGACGAGAGGGCATGGACCTGGGTGGCGGGCACACCCCGGAGGGGGGCGTGCAGGAGGCAGCTGACGGGTGCTTCTCTCTCCTTGGTGTTTCTAGCTCTCCCCCTCTCCCTTGCTCTCTGTGGAACATCAATGAAATGTATTGTATATAGTCTATGTGTGTATATATATTCATACATGTTTATATATATATATTCATAGACAAAGCTAACCAGGCCCGTTCAGACCACCTGTGCCCGTGTCCCTGTGCGGCCACCGCCGGGGACTGACCGCGAGAAGACCCACCTCCGGCAGCAGCTCGAGGGCTGTGCGGTGGTCCTTGTAGTCCTGCTCCTGGAGCATCTGGATGATGAGGCTGAACACCGGGCGATTGTGCCAGCACTCCTTGCTCACCATGGCCCTGGGCACGGGGCTGGGTCAGGCCTGGCCGCAGGGCACCCACAGGAGGGCCGGGGCCAGGGACACAGCCAGGCTTAGCAGGGGCACCCAGGAGGCCGGGGCGGGCACACAGGAGGCACCCAGGGGGCCGGGGCAGGCACACAGGGGCACCCAGGGGGCCGGGGCGGGCACACAGGGGCACCCAGGGGGCCGGGGCGGGCACACAGGGGCACCCAGGGGGCCGGGGCGGGCACACAGGGGCACCCAGGGGGCCGGGGCGGGCACACAGGGGCACCCAGGGGGCCGGGGCGGGCACACAGGGGCACCCAGGGGGCCGGGGCGGGCACACAGGGGCACCCAGGGGGCCGGGGCGGGCACACAGGGGCACCCAGGGGGCCGGGGCGGGCACACAGGGGCACCCAGGGGGCTGGGGCGGGCACACAGGGGCACCCAGGGGGCCGGGGCGGGCACACAGGGGCACCCAGGGGGCTGGGGCGGGCACACAGGAGGCTGGGGCAGGCACACGGGCACCCAGGGGACAGGGGCACCCAAGGGGACGGGGCAGGCACCCAGGGGCACCCAGAAGGTGGGGCGGGCACACAGGGGCACCCAGGAGGCCAGGGCGGGCACACAGGGCACCCAGAGGACTGGCGGGCACCCAGAGGACCAGGCGGGCACCCAGAGGCACCCAGAGGACCGGCGGGCACCAGCGCGGGCTCACCTGGCCAGCACAGTGACGCCCTCATAGTGCCTCTCGGGGCTGGTGAGCAGCCCCCAGCCGCCCAGGGTCTGCACGGCGGACACCAGCTCCCCGTAGCCCGCGCCCCACACGAGGGCCTTCAGGGCCTCGACGGTGGAGCTGGGGAGGGACGGGAAGCAGACGGGTCAGCCGCCCCCCCGCCCCCCCCCCCCGCAAGACTCCCTGAGGGCTGCGGGGGACCAGGCCCCGCGGGGGAGCCGGGAGCCAGCAGGGGGCAGGCCTGAGTCCAGGGCTGTGGGCACAGAACCCTGGCCTCGGCCCAGGAGCGGAATTAAAGTCTTCTTGGCGTGGCTTCATAGTTGAACATCAGCCTGGGGAGCCGAAGGGTCCCGGGTTCGATTCCGGTCGAGGGCACGGACCTCGGCGGCAGGCTCCTCACCCACCCCGGGGCCCTGGTCGGGGCTCAGGCAGGAGGCACCCCATCCAGGTGTCTCTCTCACATCGATGTTCCTCTCTGCCTCTCCCTCTCCCTCCCACTCTCTCTAAAAATCAGTGGGAAAATATCCTCAGGTGAGGATTTAACAACTAAATTAAAAAATAATAATAATAAAAAGTCACCCTAGCTGGTGTGGCTCAGTGGATAGAGCATCGGCCTAAGGACTGAAGAGTCCCAGGTTTGATTCTGGTCTGGGGCGCATGCCTGCATCGTGGGCTCAGTTCTCAGTCGGGGACATAAAGGAGGCAGCCAATCCATGCTTCTCTCTCGTCATTGATGTTTCTATCTCTCTCCCTTCCTCTCTAAAATCAGTTTAAAAAGTCCACTGAGCCTGGCCGGTGTGGCTCAAAGGTTGAGCATCAACCTATGAACCGGAGGTCAGGGTTCGATTGCCAGTCAGGGCACATACCCGGGTTGTAGGCTCGATCCCCAGTGGGGGGTGTGCAGGAGGCAGCCGATCCACGATTCTCCCTCAACATGGATGTTTCTCTCTCTCTCTCTCTCTCTCTCTCTCTCTCTCTCTCTCTCTCTCTCCCTCTCTCTCTCTCTCCCTCTCTCTCTCTCCTCTCCCCCTTCCTCTCTGAAATCAATAAAACATAAAATAAAATAAAAACTGATCCGCTTGCCCCCTCCCTATAGCCCTTCCCCACCTTCCCCACAACCGCCCCCTGTTGCCAGTGAAACAAGTTTCAGTGGGGTGCGGGGAGCCCGTGTCCCGGCCAGCGGTGCAGGGGGGGGGGGTCGGGAGGTGGCAGGGGAACACCCGGATGGAGGTGTTCAGAGGGTGGGCCCGGGGGACCCGCGGTACCTGACGGGGTCCGTCCACTTGGTGACGTTCTGGTCGCTCTGGGCGGCCCCGGCCCCGCCCTGCACCACCAGGAAGGACGTCTGGATCAGCAGCGCCATGAACAGCGGCGGGAACAGCACCTGCACCTCCGTCCGCCGGCTGGGCTCCAGCAGCAGCTCGTGGATGGCCCTGGTGGCCTGGGGCGGGCGGAGGGCGGAGGGCGGGCCCCTGGGCATCGCTGCCGCCAGGAGACCTCCGCCCACAGTGACCCCCACGGGCGTGGGAGTCAGAAAAAGTCCGGGGAAGCCGAAACCGGTGTGGCTCAGTGGATAGAGCGTCGGTCTGCGGACTGAAAGGTCCCGGGTTCGATTCCAGTCAGGGGCATGTATGTTGGTTGCGGGCACATCCCCGGTGGGGGGGTGTGCAAGAGGCAGCTGGTGGATGTTTCTCTCTCATCGACGTTTCTAGCTCTCTATCTCTCTCCCTTCCTCTCTGTAAAAAATCAATAAAATATATTTTTTTAAAAGGTCAAGGGAAAATTCCTAGAATGCAATTATTTTAATTTCTTTTTTTCCTTTTTCTTTTTTTCTTTAGAATCTTTTTTTTTTTAATTATTGATTTCAGAGAGGAAGGGAGAGGAAGAGACAGAAACGTCAATGACGAGCGAGAACAATTGATTGGCTGCCTCCTGCACGCCCCCTACTGGGCATGCGCCCTGACCAGGATGGACCCGGAGGCCTCTTGGTTCCTGGGCCAAGGCTCACCCGCTGAGCCACACCGGCTGTGCAGAACGCCATGATGTTAAAGTGCTCCCGCCTCTGCCCGTTGCTTATTGCCTCACCGTCCTTGACAGTTTACGAGGGCCTGGGGGGTCGGTCCCCTAAGCCGCCCAGGAGAAATGGAAGCCGTCCTGTCCCCCAGAGGCATGGTGGACTGCGAAACCCTCCAGGACCGCACCCCAGACTCTGGAACGTCCCACCCAACACTGGGAGGAGGGGGAGAGGCCCAAGGAGCTCAGGACAGCAGGGCCTGGGCAGGGAGGAGCCCCACCCCACCCCAGCGCCCCTTCCCAGCCCCAGTGCCCAGCCACAGGGCCCCGCCCAGCCACAGGGCCCCGCCGAATCCCAGGGCCTTGCCCACCCACAGGGCCCCGCCCAGCCACAGGGCCCCGCCCACCCACAGGGCCCCGCCCACACAGAGCCCCGCCCACCCACAGGGCCCCGCCCAGACACAGGGCCCCGCCAAGTCCCAGGGCCCCGCCCACCCCACCGGGCCCCCGCCCACCCACAAGGCCCCGCCAAATCCCAGGGCCTTGCCCACCCACAGGGCCCCTCCCAGCCACAGGGCCCCGCCGAATCCCAGGGCCCCGCCCAGCCACAGGGCCCCGCCCAGCCACAGGGCCCCGCCCACACAGAGCCCCACCCAGCCACAGGGCCCCGCCCAGCCACAGGGCCCCGCCAATCATAGAGCCCCGCCCAGCCAGAGGGCCCCGCCCAGACACAGGGCCCCGCCCACCCACAGGGCCCCACCCACCCACAGGACCCCGCCCACCCACAGGGTCCCGCCCAGCCACAGGGCCCCGCCCAGCCACAGGGCCCCGCCCAGCCACAGGGCCCCGCCAAATCCCAGGGCCTAGCCCACCCACAGGGCCCTGCCCACACAGAGTCCCGCCCACCCACAGGGCCCCGCCCAGACACAGGGCCCCGCCCAGCCACAGGGCCCCGCCCAGCCACAGGGCCCCGCCAAATCCCAGGGCCCCACCCACCCACAGGACCCCGCCCACCCACAGGGCCCCGCCCAGCCACAGGGCCCCGCCCAGCCACAGGGCCCCGCCCACCCACAGGGCCCCGCCCAGACACAGGGCCCCGCCCACCCACAGGGCCCCGCTCCAGCCCGGCCCCCCCACCCACAGGCCCCGCCCAGCCACAGGCCCCGCCCCGCCCCGGCCCCGCCTACGATCAGCGGGGAGATCTGTGTCCTGTCGCTGGCCTCGGGGGCCCTGCGCTTCAGGGGCAGCGTCAGCCTCTGCAGCAGGTGCTCCATGATCATCACGTAGCTCTGCGGGATCGCCGCCAGGATCTCCCAGGGTTTGCGGTTCCCCTTGCTGAGGCAGAAACCCAGCGGCTTATCCCCCTCCACAGCCCCGCCGGCCCCCGCCCAGCACCCATCAAACCCACAGCGGGCAGAGCCGGGCCACCCAGCGCCCCGCCGCGCGCAGCAGGAAGCCGAGCGGGGACCGAACGCCGAGAGGGCAGCCCCGGCCGCCCGCTGTGGCTCCGAGCACAGAGCGTCCGCCTGCGGACCGAAGGGTCCCGGGTTCGATCCCAGCCCAGGCACCCACCCTGGTCTGGGCGCAAGCAGGTGGCAACTAGCCGATGTGTTTATCTCACATCGGTATTTCTCTCTGCCAGTCTCTCTCTCAAAATCGGTGGTGGGGAAACCAACGGAAAGAGGACTGAGAAGGAGAAGAGACGGGATCCCTTTGAGAAGGAGCCGACCGAGGCCCGTGGGGCGGGCGCGGCGGCCGGGGTGGGGGGGGCCCACCTGTAGGACTGGTCCTGCACCTTGAGCAACGTCAGGATGACGTCATCGGCGTAGGCCTGGGCCAGGCGCTGGAGGACCTTCCTCATGGTCTCCTGGGCGGTGGCCTCGGTGATTCGGTTCATGTTGTGGTAGATGAATTCCACGATTTCCGGGACCTGAGGGGGACGGGGGGGAGGGAGACACAGGTTCCCTCCTGAAACTCAACCCCCCTCATCAGGAGACCCATAGCCGGGCTCCCCCATAGCCGGGCTCGCCGATAGCCTGCGCCTCTGGGGAGGGCGAGGAAGAGGATTTGAAGCTCACATAATATTGCACATCAATGGAAACTGAAAAATAAATTTTATTTAAATATATATATTTTTTTTTATTGATTTCAGAGCGGAAGGGAGAGAAAGAGAGAAACATCCATCATGAGAGAGGATCATGGATCGGCTGCCTCCTGCATGCTCCCTACTGGGGATGGAGCCCACACCCCAGGCCTGTGCCCTGACTAGGGTTGCCGGCTTGATCTCCAGTAGGGGGCGTGCAAGAGGCAGCCTGTGGGTGATTCCCCCTCTTCCTTCCTCTCTGAAATCAATAAAAAGATTTTTTTAAGAAGAAGAAGAGGAAGGAGGAACCCTGACATTGACCTTGAACCGTCCGGCCCCTCACGGTGGCTACCTTGCCGATCTCCGGCATCGAGGACCTCAGGATCATCGTCAGGATCTTGGATGCCGCCCTGACATGGTCCTCCTTGGCGCTGGTCATGGCCTCCATGAACACCATGATTGCGTCCATCCTCTCCTCCGGCGTCAGGAACTCCCTGAAGAACTGGAGGAAGAGAAGGCACTGTTGCTGAAACCGGTGTGGCTCAGTGGATAGAGCGTCGGCCTGCGGACTGAAAGGTCCCAGGTTCGATTCCAGTCAAGGGCGTGGACCTTGACTGCAGGCACATCCCCAGTGGGGGGTGTGCAGGAGGCAGCTGATGGATGTTTCTCTCACATCGGTGTTTCTAACTCTCTATCCTTCTCCCTTCCTCTCTGTAAAAAATCAATAAAATATTTTTTTTTAAAGGTACTGTGGCAGCTGCCGGGGCGGGGGGGGTAGGGGGTGTCTGCCTGTGGGTAAAATGAGACGTTTCCGAGTTGCCTCTTAAGCATATGGTTCTTCAAGACTTGGCTGTGAAGTGACCTGCGTGGGCCCGGCCGGCGTGGCTCAGGGCTGAGCGTGGGCCTGGGAACCAGGAGGTCAGGGCTCAGTGCCTGGTGGGGGCACAAGCCTGGGTTTCAGGCTCCATCCCCAGTGGGGACGTGAGGGAGGGAGGCAGCTGATCCATGATTCTCTCCCATCATGGATGTTTCTATCTCTCTCCCTCTCCCTTCCTCTCTGATATCAATCAATAAATTAAAAAAAAAAAAAATCAGGGGCTACCTGACCAGCGTGGCTCAGTGGCTGAGCATTGACCTAGGAACCTGTGTGCCTGTGTGTCTGTGTGTGTGTCTGTGTGTGTGTGTCTGTGTGTGTGTCTGTGTGTGTGTGTGTGTCTGTGTGTTGTGTGTGTCTGGTGTGTGTGTGTGTGTCTCTCTGTGTGTCTGTGTGTTGTGTGTGTCTGGTGTGTGTGTGTGTGTCTCTCTGTGTGTCTGTGTGTCTGTGTCTGTGTGTGTCTGTGTGTGTGTCTCTGTGTGTGTGTGTGTCTGTGTGTGTGTGTCTGTGTGTGTGTCTCTGTGTGTGTTTTGTGTTGTGTGTGTCTGGTGTGTGTGTGTGTGTCTCTCTGTGTGTCTGTGTGTTGTGTGTGTCTGGTGTGTGTGTGTGTGTCTCTGTGTGTGTCTGTGTGTTGTGTGTGTCTGTATGTTGTGTGTGTCTGGTGTGTGTGTGTGTCTGTGTGTGTGTGTGTCTCTGTGTGTGTGTCTGTGTGTGTGTGTGTCTCTGTGTGTGTCTGTGTGTTGTGTGTGTCTGTATGTTGTGTGTGTCTGGTGTGTGTGTGTGTCTGTGTGTGTGTGTCTCTGTGTGTGTGTCTGTGTGTGTGTGTGTCTCTGTGTGTGTCTGTGTGTTGTGTGTGTCTGGTGTGTGTGTGTGTGTGTGTGTGTGTCTGGTGTGTGTGTGTGTGTCTCTCTGTGTGTCTGTGTGTTGTGTGTGTCTGTATGTTGTGTGTGTCTGGTGTGTGTGTGTGTCTGTGTGTGTGTGTGTCTCTGTGTGTGTGTCTGTGTGTGTGTGTGTCTCTGTGTGTGTCTGTGTGTTGTGTGTGTCTGGTGTGTGTGTGTGTGTGTGTGTGTGTGTCTGGTGTGTGTGTGTGTGTCTCTCTGTGTGTCTGTGTGTTGTGTGTGTCTGGTGTGTGTGTGTGTGTCTCTGTGTGTGTCTGTGTGTTGTGTGTGTCTGTATGTTGTGTGTGTGTGGTGTGTGTGTGTGTCTGTGTGTGTGTGTGTCTCTGTGTGTGTGTCTGTGTGTGTGTGTGTCTCTGTGTGTGTCTGTGTGTTGTGTGTGTCTGGTGTGTGTGTGTGTCTGTGTGTGTGTGTGTCTCTGTGTGTGTGTCTGTGTGTGTGTGTGTCTGTGTGTGTCTGTGTGTTGTGTGTGTCTGGTGTGTGTGTGTGTGTGTGTGTGTGTGTGTGTGTGTGTCTGTGGGGGGGCGGGCGGGGGTACACCTCTGTGGCCCCAGCCAGGCCCTCCTTCTCCCCGGCACACGCTCCCCTGGGTACCCCGTGCCTCGGGCGGGGGCGTTACCATGGTGAGGTCCTCGATGTAGACCAGCCACTCCCCACGGAAGTGCTTCTGCAGGTCCTTCAGGATCAGCTCCGTCTTGTGCTTCTGACCTGAGCAGAGCCGCCGTGAGGGCGGGGCCTGGGGGAGCACAGCGGGCCCCCCCCATGCGCTCCACGTGACCCACGGCCTGGGGGCGGCTCAGGGCCAGGCCGAGGGGCCGGGAAGCTGTGCGGGAGCGGCGGTTAGGGCCACGGACCCCGTACCCGGTGGGCAGGTGCATGGACTGTCCCACCCCCACTGCTCAGCCAACACCCTCTCGGGGGTACCTCCCACCCCCACTGCTCAGCCAACACCCTCTTGGGGGTACCTTCCACCCCCACTGCTCAGCCAACACCCTCTCGGGGGTACCTTCCACCCCCACTGCTCAGCCAACACCCTCTTGGGGGTACCTCCTATCGAATCACACAAAGCCAAGGTGGCCCTATTCCTGTGGCTCAGTGGATAGGGTCTTGGGTTCGATTCCAGTCAAGGGGCATGCACATTGGTTGCAGGCTCCTCCCCAGCCCGGCTCAGATCGGGGCAGGTGCAGGAGGCCACGCATCGATGTGTCTCTCTCCCATCGATGTTTCTCTCAGTCTCTCCCTCTCTCTCCCTCTCTCCCTAAAATCAATGGGAAAATATCCTCAGGGGTAGGATTGAAAAGCCATTTTTTCTAAAAGTCCCTTGGGGGTGCCAAAACCGGTGTGGCTCAGTGGTAGAGTGTCGGTCTGCGGACTGAAAGGTCCCGGGTTCGATTCCGGTCAAGGGCATGGACCTTGGTTGCGGACACATCCCTGGAAGGGAGTGTGCAAGAGGCAGCTGGTCGATGTTTCTCTCTCATCAACGTCTCTAGCTCTCTCTCCCTCTCCCTTCCTCTCTGTAAAAAATCAATAAAATATATTAAAAAATAAAAATAAAATAAACTCTCGGGGGTATTTGCAAACCCTCTGGTGTTCCTGTGAGCGTGTGTGGGTGCCGTGTCTTTGGTTTTCCCAGTGCCCAGAACACCCAGGCCTGGAGAGGGCGTCCGGGCCGGGAGAGAGAGAGAGTCCGGGCCAGGACTTCCCGGTTGGCTCCCTGAAACGGAGGCTCCTTTTCTGAGCCACACGCAGCATCTGAGGCTCAAGGTGATCTAGGCGGCTGCAGGCCTAGCCCTTCCCCGCCCTCCGCCCCATTTCCCCTCCAAGAATCTTCTAGAATCTCTTCACAGCAGCGGACATTGCACCAGCCACGGGCTGTGAGTTTCCTGCAGCCAACGCTGGCCGGTGCCGGGCCATCGGGACCTGCCCCTGGCCGGGCCTGACCCCGTGGCGGGGGGTGGGGGGCTGGGTGGGTCGGTGGGTCCCCCCAGGCGCCCGGGTCCCCCTGGGACACACACACACACACACCACTCACTTCTGTGGAGCACCAGCACCTTGAAGAGGTAGTGCAGGCCCTCCGAGGCACCTGCGCTGACCTGGGGGCTGCGGCTCATGCAGAAGATGCCCAGGGTGCCCATCAGCCGCCCGCTGATGGAGAACTCGCCCAGGTGCTGTGGGGAGAGGCAGCCGCGGTCCCCTGGGCGCCCTCCCTCCCCGCCAGGACCACCGGCCCCTCCCCGGCCGTCACTCCGTCAACATTCCTGACTCTCTATCCCTCTCCCTTCCTCTCTGTACAAAATCAATAGAATATATTTTTTAAAAAAAGATCAGCGCCCTGACCCCCCCCCTCTGGCGCTGCCCGCGGAGCCACAGGCTCAGGGGGCGCCCGGGGACAGCGAGGCCGCCCGCGCACCGGCTCACCAGCAGCTCAGGGAAGTTGCAGGTGAAGCGCAGCATGTGGGCGACGGCGTAGGCCGCCCGCGTCTGCTCCTGCTCCTTGTCGGACAGCGTGAGCCACGGCAGGATGATCTGGGGGGGGGGGGGGGGGGGCGTCAGGCCCCACCCGCCTCGGCCGGAGCCCGCACCCCGGACAGAGGCCAGGGAGACACACAGGTGGGCCCTGACCGGTGTGGCTCAGTGGATAGAGTGCCGGCGTGTGGAGTGAAGGGTCCCGGGTTCGAGTCCTGTCAAGGGCATGTACATCCTCCACGCCCAGGCGCCTGCAGGAGGCAGCCCGTCGATGTGTTTCTCTCACATCGATGTTTCTCTCTGCGTCTCCTTCCTCTCCCTTCGGCTCTCTCAGAAAAATCAATGGGAAAATATCCTCGGGTGGGGATTAACAAGATAAAATCACACACACACACACACACACACACACACACATTGAATGGCCAGATGATGATTATCCCTGAACGCATAATCATCTGGCCACTCCGTGTCCGTCCTATAGAGTAAAAGGCCAATATGCAAATGGTCCCCTCGACCAGGAGTGCGGCCAGCAGGCAGGCCGGCCACCCGCCCATGTCCCCTCCCCCTGGCCAGGCTGGCCGGACCCCACCCATGCACAAATTCAGGCACCGGGCTTCTAACATATAATATATAGAGAGAGACAGAGTGGCCAGGTGCGTTCAGAGGTCATCGTCATCCGGCCGCTCTGTGTCCACATCCGCATGGGCCTCTGGCTCCCTCTGGACTGGGCTCAGCTGTCGGGGGCCAGGCTCCCCGCCCAGGGCCCGAGGGACACCCATGCGACCCCGACACCCACCTCCAGCATCCGCTGCAGCATGGTCATGCTGGGGCCCAGGCCCTCCATCACCAGGGCCTGCAGCATGTCGTCCAACGCCTGGACCGTCTGACACAGGACACAGGGGGTTGGGGGGGACAGACAGCCATGGGGACCCCGTCGGTTCCTGGGCAGCCCCCCCAGACCCTCCTCAGGGGCCAAGAAAGTGGGGGCCGGTCCAGCTCGGTCGCCACACTCCAGTCTCCCTGAGAGCCGGCCTTCCCGGCCCCTCCCTCCCTCCCCGCAGGCTGGGGGGCCCTCCCTTAGGATGGAGGGTTCTCCCTCGGGACCAGCTCCAGCTCTTAGGACTGCGTCTGCTGGAGCCGCTCCCCGCCCCATGGGGGCTGTCTGGGAAGTCGGGGGGGTGGCCCAGGATGTCGGGGGGCTGCCCGGAGTCGGGGGGCGGCCCAGGACGTCAGGGGGGGCCGGGAAGTCGGGGGGCTGCCCGGAGTCAGGGCTCACCTGCAGGTAGAGGCTGGCCCTGTCCCTGCCATCCTGGCTGGGCAGGATGAGCGGCAGCGAGAACACGCAGGCCACGGCCGCCGTCACCAGGTCCAGCTTCTGCTCCAGGGGGAAGGGGGGGTCCACCTGGCTGGGGGCGGAAAGGACAGGGGGCTGGGGGGGGCTGGGGGGGCTGAGGGGCTGGGGGGGCTGGGGGGGCTGCGGGGGAGCAGGAAGGACAGGGGGCTGAGGGGGCTGGGGGGCTGGGGGGGAGCAGGAAGGACAGGGGGCTTAGGGGGCTGAGGGGCTGGGGGGAGCAGGAAGGACGGGGGGCTGGGGGGCTGAGGGGGGCGCGGCGGGAAGGACGGGGGGCTGAGGGGGGTGGGGGGCTGAGGGAGAGCAGGAGGACAGGGGGCTGGGGGGCTGGGGGGGCTGGGGGAGGCGGCGGGAAGGACGGGGGGTCTGAGAGGGCTGGGGGGCGGCAGGAAGGACGGGGGGCTGAGGGGGGCGCCCCGTTCGGGGCCTGGGACCCTGCAGATGAATTTCTCAGCTGCTATCTTGGGGACACAGGGGACAAAGGGGACCTGAACCCCAAACCCCTTCTCATGGGCGTCCCCCCGCTCAGAGCCCTCCCACCCCCACATCCTCCGAGGCTCCCAGGAGTGACACCGGGGTCCCCCACCCCGGTGCTGGTAGACGAGGGGCACCCCGAACCCTTCCTTGGACCCCGGGCTCTGGCAGGGGACCCCGCGGCCGGAGGGGAGGGGAACCTCAGGGCCACGATGGAGAGCATGGCCTGCTGGCGCACACTGCTGGTCAGCTCGCCGCCGCCCTCCTCCAGCATCAGGGCCTGGGGGGGGCAGGGGCGCCGTCAGGGAGACGCCCCGGACCTGCGCCCTCCGCCCTCCATGGGGAGGGGGGCCGCCGCCCTCCCCGGCCAGCCGCCCGCCGCCTGCACCTCGATCGTCCTGGCCGCCCCCTCCCCGGCCCTCGGCCGCCGCCCGCACCTCGATCGTCCTGGCCGCCCCCTCCCCGGCCGGCCGCCGCCCGCACCTCGATCGTCCTGGCCAGCAGCGTCTTGCAGACGTAGTCGCTCATGGAGACGTTGTCCTGGCCGCGGACGGCACCGGCCAGCGTGTCCACCGCCCGAAGGAAGAGCATCTTGTCCACCTCGGACTGGGGCAGAGCACACGGCCGTCTGCCCTCCCACCCTGCCCCGGGCCTGCTCCCGGCCCCACACCCCTCCGCCTGCTCCCCACCCCCCCACACCCCTCCGCCTGCTCCCCGCCCCCCCACACCCCTCCGCCTGCTCCCCGTCCCCCCACACCCCTCCGCCTGCCTCCCCACCCCCCCACACCCCTCCGCCTGCTCCCCGCCCCCCCCCCCCCTCCGCCTGCTCCCCGTCCCCCCACACCCCTCCGCCTGCTCCCCGTCCCCCCACACCCCTCCGCCTGCTCCCCGCCCCCCCACACCCCTCCGCCTGCTCCCCACACCCCCACACCCCTCCGCCTGCTCCCCGCCCCCCCCACCCCTCCGCCTGCTCCCCGTCCCCCCACACCCCTCCGCCTGCTCCCCACCCCCCCACACCCCTCCGCCTGCTCCCCGTCCCCCCACACCCCTCCGCCTGCTCCCCGTCCCCCCACACCCCTCCGCCTGCTCCCCGTCCCCCCACACCCCTCCGCCTGCTCCCTGCCCCCTCCCTACCCTGCCCCTGACCTGCTTTCTGCCCTCTTCCTACCCGGCCCCCGACCTGCTCCCTGCCCCTTCACCCCCCCCCCCCACCTGCTCCCTGTCCCCCCACACCCCTCCGCCTGCTTGCAAACTTGATCCCCCTACCCCTGCCAGGGGGCAGGCGGGAGGCAACGGATGGATGTGTCTCTCACGTCGATGTTTCTCTCTTTCTCTCCCTCCCCGCACCCCGCACTCTCTTAAAAAATAATCAATGGAAAAAATATCCATGGCTGAGCATTGATCTGTGAACCAGGAGGTCATGGTTATATTCCCGGTGAGGGCACAGGCCTGGGTTCTGGGCTCGACACCCAGTGTGGGGCGTGCAGGAGGCAGCCAGTCCCTGATTCTCTCTCATCATGGATGTTTCCATCTCTCTCTCCCGCCCTTCCTTTTCCTCTGACATCAGTAAACATATATTATATATAATATATTATATATAACATACGTAATATATAATATATAATCCCCTCAGGTAAGGATTTTTTTAAATGAAACACACACACACACACACACACACACACACACACACACAAACCACGAGAGAGCCCTGACTGGTGTGGCTCAGTGGATAGAGCACCGGCCTGCGGACTGAAGGATTCCGGTCAAGGGCATGCACCTTGGCTGCGGGCACATGCCCAGTGGGGGGTGTGCAGGAGGCAGCTGATGGATATTTCTCTTTCATCCATGTTTCTAGCTCTCTATTCCTCTCCCTTCCTCGCTGTAAAAAAATCAATAAAATATAGCCGAGACCGGTTTGGCTCAATGGGTAGAGCGTCGGCTTGGGGACTGAAGGGTCCCGGGTTCGATTCCGGTCAAGGGCATGTACCTTGGTTGCGGGCACGTCCCCGGTGAGGGGTGTGCAAGAGGCAGCTGATCGATGACTCTCTCCCATCGATGTTTTTAACTCTCTATCTCTCTCCCTTCCTCTCTGTACAAAACCAATAAAAATATATTTTTTAAAAAATCAATAAAATATACATTTTTTTTAAAAACAAGCCAGCGGGCAGCGGCCTGTTTTCTGCTCCCGGCTCAGCTCTCACCATCTCTCCGCCTCTGAGGAATCCCAGGATGCACTGGTAGGCTTCTCGCTCCGACTGGCGCAGGGCTGCAGGGATGTCATCGGGAGGGCGGCTCGGCTGCCCCCTGAGACGGCCCTGAGGCCGGGCCTCCCCCACCCGCCCTCCGCCCAGGGGCCCAGGACCCACCGCCCTCCGCCAGGGGCCCCGGGGGCCGGGGGCGGGGCGGGCACCCATCTCCGGAAGGAGCTCCTCCAGGCCCGTGGCCCCGTCTGGACGCAGAAGCTCCGGGGATAGACAGGACGGGGCCCGGGTTCGGGGGTTGGGCGCCGGGCATGGCCGGGACGGAGGAGCGGGAAGAGGGTGACCAGAGGTCCCACACGGGCACCGACATTCCCACGTGTGAACGGGCTTCACACCCCCACTCAGCCGGCCGGCATGGCTCCGTGGCTGAGCGTCCGCCTAGGAGCCAGGAGGGCAGGGTTCGATTCCCGGTCGGGGCACAGGCCCGGGATGAGGGCTCCATCCCCAGTGGGGGGCGTGCAGGAGGCAGCCGGTCCGTGATTCTCTCTCATTATTATTGACGTTTCTCTCCCTCTCTCTCTCTCCCTCTCTCTCTCTCTCTCTCTCTCTCTCTCTCTCTCTCTCTCTCTCTCTCTCTCTCTCC